TCTTTATACCGGTTCATATTTTATGTAGGTTCAACTGTCGAATTTGATTACGTGAAAATATTTGTGATGGATTTAAATAAAAAGTGATAATTTACTCACAAATCTATGGGTGAGATTGAGAGTAGTGTATGTTTGATTGACTTTGTTACGAAAGAGAAGAGCAAGTTTCTGTCGACTTAAAAATGGTTAAAAGCGAGTATGTTCGTTTTTAGCGGGTCCTCGCGGTTTTTCACGGTTTTCGTGGAACTGATAAGAGATAACAACTTGGTGTCTTCGGCAAAGTTGTAGCACTCGAGGTCTTCTATAATATCGCTGAAGACAGTTATCTCTTATCTCTTATCAGTTCCGCGAAAAGCGCGAAAAATGATAAGAAAAAATAAGTTCTATATAAAATTTGCTTTTTTATGTGCGCGATTTGCGCGCAACTGATAAGAGATAAGAGATAACTGTCTTCAGCTTAGTTATAGAAGACCTCAAGTACTACAACTTTGCCGAAGACACCATGTTGTTATCTTTTATCAGTTGCGCGAAAACCATGAAGACCGCGGAGGCTAGACGGTACTACAACATACTCTACTTTAACGCCAACGGAATCATCAGAAAACATACTCGCCTTTTCAAAAATATAAATCGAAGAAAAAACATACTCCACTCTCAATCTCACCCATAGAAATACAGAACCCACTTATTTTGTCAATATTCGTATGCACAAATCAGCCAATTGATGTATGCATGCATCGCGTCCGCATCGTTGATGTAAATTCCAAATGAAATTCACCGACCAAGAATAGCCAGTGAAACTAGAGGATTGCCATTAAATTGTTTTAAATAAATGAGCCCGGAAATTGATTTGCCTTAATGTAAAACGAGGCGCGCACTCTACTTTTGTTTTTCAGTTATTTACTATAGACAATTTACTATCTCTCCATTCTGCAGAGAGTGAAGCTTGCAATGGTTCGTATTTGAAATAGTGTCACAACCGTTATAAAAATAATTAATTGGATATTTTATTTTAAATGAAAGATATTCGACGATAATTTCAATGGCTTAGTTGAATGAAGGTACCGTATGTCATCTGCATTCGAATTATTAAATTGTTTCGTTGGCGTTTCAATTGATTTGCCGAAGATACGTTGCATCGATCTCTGGCTGTGAAACACGTTAAATTTTTGCTTCTCAATTAATAAGACTGCCAATCGCTAATCCAACCAAAAACTGTTTAGTTCAAATGGGCTATGGTACAAACACAGCTCAACTGGAGATTATAAGAAAACGAATTACGTGTTCAGTATTAATAAATTATAACAGTTCTCTTCAATGACCCATTGTTTTGTGAGTTACACTGATTTCCATCAAATATGCGAATAATATTTGCGTTCTAAATACAAATCATGATTTTATTGCATTTTTGACTTTCGACAAACCCCTTCAGTAATTTTTCGGAGTGACGAACATTTGATCGATAATATTAATGTGTGTGTGGTTGTACGAAGAGAGCTTCAACAAATATATTGTTGCTCAATCGGGTAGATAATGAATATGTTCTTACATTTTTCTACACAAATCAGTACAATGTCTTTACATACAAAATGAATATAAATGGAATCGTCGAATATTTTCTAATTTTCTACTCTTGAACAACATGTTGCAACCTCTGGCGGTATCCTATGATCACCAGAGAAAATTGAATCTAGAAATGAAATTAACATTGCCACAATCACTCCACAAATAGGTGTTCATAGATACCAGTAAAATTGAAGATAAATTATTCAACGATTAACTGGACGCTTCGCCAGTAGCTTCTGTTTTTAAATCCAGTTATTTTTACTCCGAAATCGACTGATTTCATTATCTGATATTGATATCTTAATTCAATTTCAATATAAGAAATAGTTTTGTAAAAAGAACGAGTTCGCATGAGGCTTTCAATAAAATGCTCCCGTTGAAGTGATTATTCGTCGAAAATTACATTCAATCTATTTGCATTATGTGTGGGCACCATGATTACGGATATCATTTCATATTTGCCATATCCATGGTTATTCACACCATAACAAGAAAAATATGCAAAACAAGTTCAAGCCGAGAAAGGCCACATGTGTCCACAGTTTCCATATGATATGTTGAAAAATAAAAAATGAGAAAACAAACATAATTATTTCAACGAAATAATTTCTTTAACTCTGTAACTCCATTAATTTTGTGCACAAGTTCAATTGAATCCAGAGATGAAACCTGTTCAAGCTGATTAAAGTTCGACTTGTGTGATTTTTAGTTGTCACTTGGTCATTTGTAACATTTTTCTCGAGTTATTTGTTCAATCTCTCCGCTTGTGTCATATCCACCAAGTGTAAATAAAATGCAATTGAAACATCACAGCATTGTATGCATCCAATGCTGTATGCGATTGGTTACCAATCAATATATTAGACATATGGATGTCACTGTTGAGTTGCAGTTTTAATGATGCCATTGCATCTCATCGTATCACTTGTTTGCCTTTTCTAACGATGGATAAATTTGCATAAGAGCGACCGTTATACAGCTACCATCGCAATTATCGACAATCGAACAAATATGCGAACAGAAATAAGGACAACGAAAACAAAATTCTTGGCAAGTCTGAATCCAAATGGCTATTGGTAATTGATGCCTAAGAACGTCCAACAATAATTATCTTGTCAATTTGAATCGGTTCATCGATGCCGGAAAAATACAATCATTTCCGACTTTTCTCGTATTAACCCTCAACTGCATAAGCCCGCCTTTTGGCGGGCATCATTTAAACACCTGTATAATGTGAATCGTACGGCGGATGACATTGCTTCAAGGGGAATTTTTATTTGTCAATGTTTTTTCTTTATTTTTGTCTTTGGCGTCATTTGTCTATGTCGTACGATTGGTGAGTTATAAACAAAAATGTGCACGAAAACGAAAATTTGACAAAATAAATTATTCGGTTTCCAAATTAGACATATTTTTGACACTTTTAAACAATGGATTTCATTGTTCTCTGACTTATTTCTATCGCATTTCCTGACTAAACCATGGGAAATCTAGGATTATGAATATTTTTTTCGTTATCTATGGCCAAAAATCAACCAAATACCAGTACTCCCAGTCCTAGGAAAAATTCATGCAGTTGAGGGTTAATTGATACAAAATGCATTCCACAAATCGTTTGCATTAATTTCATATAATTGTTTCTATTGATTTTTAATGCAAGAAAACAAGCATTCGCACCGATTTCTTTTTCTGCCATCCAATGATGCATCTTTTTGTTTGTTTTGCAATCGCATTGCATTCCATTCCATTTTTTCCGATTGATTGTTAACTGAGAAAAAGGGGCCGCTAAGTCATTTAAAATCAACGCTTAGGTGAAGTAAAGAAAAAAATATAGAAATAATTTTATGAAGTTGGAGCGTAATTTTTATCTGCCGATCAAATTGAAACGCAGTAGACAGGAAAATCAGTTAGCAGCTTGTAACTGGTCGTAATCAATTTGTATGTTTGTTTTTATGGTTAATTGGTTTCTGTAGAGATATCTTCTGCGCTGCATGTCCCATATTGGATTTTATGCGATGTTCGCTTGGCGAGATACACATGCATCGATTTTAGTGTCTCACTGATTTCGGTCACATTCACAAAAATTAGAAATTCCAATAAAATGTACAAGCTACGATGACATTTTGCTCAGACAACGAGAAAACGTCGATACTATGAGAGTGTGTAAGACGAAAATGAATGTATATAGTGCAAAAATTAATATTTATTTTCGCAATCACTGTGAAACTTAATGAAAACTTTTATTGTTTTTGTCTGTTTTTTTTTTTAAATAAACTGTGAAAATCAAGTGTAATTTTCCGACAACTAGTGGCAGAGCACTTTCTGCTTCATTTACTTGGAAACGATTATGAACAATCAATTTTCTATGACAAACTCAAGGTTATTCCAATGATGAACGAGCGACTTCAAGAGAAAAAAAGACAGAAATGTCGTTGTTTAATATTTTGGCTTTTTTCACCAGAATCGAAGGTTTTTTTTTATTGCTACGACAAGTCAATCGTGTCTCGAAAAGCGAAATTGACCAAAAAAAAATTCCTCGACTACATTTATTCGTATAATATGAAAAAGCCAATATTTCGTTTCCCATTCATTATTCTAAAGCGAAAATCGTGCCTACACCACATACGTATCCACATTTCGGTAGAGCATTTATTTTGGCAAATCGAAGTAAAGTTTTGTTTGTTCCCATTTTGGTTTTTCGTGTTGTTTTATTTGTGTCTCTTTCATCGGCATCAACAACACGCAAAGTCATTGAGTACCGGTCGGTGCAAGCTTTTGTATCATCAAATCGAAAAAAAAACATGTCTGATATTATTGTAAATCAGAGCACAAAAATGCAATGTATTCTTATTATAGGATCAAAGTAATAGCAATGAAACATAATTTCATGTTGTGTCGCCATTTTCCCTCAATATTCAACTCTCAATGAAATTAATAAAAAAGGTTGCATTTGTTTTTTTCTGCAACAGAGTTTGTTTCTAAGCTCTCATTTTTTATAAGCAAGAAATCATCAATTATAATGATAAATGAAGAATGATGAGACAAGAAAAGTATTTCTGTCGTTCAGTCTATGTTGATTGAGCTATTTAGATTTAGCCTATTGATCGTGGAATAGGCAAAGATAAATTAATGCAAAATGTTGTCGACGCTGTGTAGAATCATTCAAAGTATATTAATTTGCATCTGATGACTGTTATTAAGTTATTGTCATTGGTTACGTTAATTTTACTTCAATTAACACCATTTCAACCCAGCAAAACCAAAGTTCAAGTCAGAATCCGAGCCAGAACTCCATTCAGTTACAGTCTACCGCATGTGTTGCGCTTATAATCGAGTCAATATCTTAGTCTCATTTGAACTCAAGATATTAAAAAATCAAGTTTCTAATGAATTAAATAGGTACTAAATGGATCTTTCTTTTTTCCTTTTTACAGAGTTCTTAAACCCCCAGGTGGTGGCAGCAGTGATGGCGGCATTTTCGGTGGAAGTTTGCCATCAACACCACGCAGTGTGCGCAATAACATGACATCGAACATTTTTGGACCGGCCAATGACGTGAAAAACGGAAATGGAAATGGTAAATACTACAAAATATAATCAATAGTAAATGGCATAGTTTCTATTGCCCAACAATATTGTTGCTTTTACGCGAGTGATTCGACCGCTAATTTTTTCGTTTCTACATAATAATAACGTTTTTCGATCCAAATATAATTTGTTTTTCTAATAAAACTCTATTTTATTTTGTTCTTTTTGCTCCAACATTTCCGGAAAATTCAAATTCTGGCAACATCAGCCGATCGTCAAGGATCTTACAGATACTTTTTCATTGGTATATTGCTTGTTTAGAAAAAAACAACCAAAAACAATTCAATTTCAATTTAATGTCACATAATCTCTCAGACACCACAAAACACGAGCATTTTCGTACACAAGCAAAATGTAGCAATAATTATAACATTTTCTTCATTGTCTCACTTTGTTTACATTTCTATGGCATTTTGTTTTAAATCCGATGGAAAATAATACTTTTTTTAAAGTTTTTCGTATCCAAAACATAGTCGCCAATTATTTCTGACCGTAGATTGCATTTTTTTGCATTGTTCTATGCATATTGGCCGTATTGACCATGAATGAATGCAATCAATAGCAAATATTTGGATTTCGTGTAAAAATTAATTTCTACCGTTTTTGATATGTTTGTTAGTTTAGCTCAGCTTGTTAGCAGTTGTTTGAATGTCGTCAGTGTGTGTTTGGAAACTTTTATTCTAGCACGTTTATTCATACGCGTTGATTTATTTCCCATTTTCGTTTCAATCGATTTCATGCGCTCTGTTTGTTTTGAGGAATTGAACAATTTTCCGATTTTCGTTCGTAGCCAGTGTTGATTTGACTATTTTGTGTTTTAATCATTTTCAAAGTGCTTTGTCAAGGCTGTGTTCTTTTCGACGGTAGAAATTCTACCGCAACGGATAAACGCGTTGCTTGATTCCGCTTACGAAACGATGGCAAGGAATAGTCGCAAAAGGCGATTTCATGTCTCAGTTTTTCTTTATAAATTATGGCAAGAATTTCAAAAGAATATAAAACGCTTACAATCGCGCTATATGAAAATTCTACGTTCTATGGTTAGGTGTAGCGAGCTATTCGGGGTCAGTGAATTTATAGAAAAACCAAACACATACACATCAGTATCTTTGTGTACATTGACCTATCGATTATTTTGTGCTAGCACCTCACATCGAATGCCTGCCCTGAATTGAATTTAATGTATGTAAATCAAACGGCCCAAAAGCATAAAACACACGGAAAGGAGATGAGTTGTAGTAAACGTAGCAGTCCAAATGGATAAAAATGAAGAAGTAATGCCATTAATAAATATACTAACACTCCACACTATTCAATAATTTCACCAACGAAATTACTCTGCTGTGAACAATAGCCGCAATTTTTTTCCTGTTTGTAGTTGCAGCAAATGATTCAGGAATCCAATTAGGGTGTGTTTAGAGCTGAAAAGCGAACAATTCTTCCGGTTCTTTGTGTGCTTCAATGGTTTGTTTGAATGCATGGAAAAGTAGAAAAAAATCAAAGTAAATTAATCATAATGAGAAAATTGTTGTATTTGTTTCGGTTCTGTCAATGAACCAATTGTAATCGATGGAGAGAACGACAAGAAACCACAAGAAATGGAATGTGCTGCTGATGATGGTTCATGATTTACTTAGTACTGATTTCTCGGCTCAATATGTATTCCGATTTTCAAAGTACCATAAGCTTATTCCTCAATCGAAATATATAAGAGATATAACAAATCATCAGTATTTCCACGAATTTTGAAAGTCAAAGCGATGAAAGAATGCCATTTCCTCTTCAAAACTGCCGCTAATCAATAAGTCGTGCGTTTGAATTGTGCGAATTTGCATGCCGCGTGAGCGAGTTGCACACATTGTACTATCCAATTCTAACTTGCAGCAATAAAACTTGATAACCTGTCACAGCAAAACTAAAAATAGCTCCAGTTCTTTCTAATTTGAGGATTTATTTATATTTTTTTTTATATTTCTTTCCATCATAAAAGACTCAGCAGTAAAGCGCCCTGCTGCGAACTCTCACAATCGCTTGTTTGGTGATGTGGAACGCGTACCCCCTACCCCGAAGGGCTACCACAAAAGTAATATTCCAATCGGAAAGGATGACATCGATGCAGCAAAAGTAACCAACGGCAACGGAGCTTTAAACGGTAATGGCGTTGCCGCCAACACTAACGGAAACGGTGTGGCTCACGAAAATGGAAACGCTAAAGTTATCGGCACCAACGGTCATGCCAATGGATCTCGAGGTAAATATTTATTTTTGTTTCAACTATCCCACGGCCTGCACTTTTTACCTATGAAATGAAGGCAATATATAATGGTTAACAAACTGCGTAGTAACGTATGTGGTCTCTACTGGTTCGGTCGATTCAACTCTGGGAAGACTCAAATGGATTTTAGTTGAAAATCCGATCAAGGTTAATAGGCAGTGAGGGAGAGAAAGAGAAAGAGAGAATTAAATGCGCTTTAAGTTTTATTTTGACCTAAATTTCATTGTAATTTCTATCGTTTACATCACGAGTAATTATTTCTAAGTACTATTCGTCTTTCTGTTTGCCTCGTCAATTTCCCCATCATTATGTAAATCTGGACAACGTTACGATACGGAAACTCTATTCACTCTGAAAAATCGATAAAAAACAAGCTGGTTCAGATTTATCATTGGACTCTCCAAAACCACGAAAAATTCCACAGCCACGTGAATTGCAGCAGAATGGTTTTAAATTAGCAACCCCAATTAAACGCAATGGTTTAATTGGTAATGGATATGCTGATGCTCCACTAACAAATTTGTCTTCGTCATCAACATCGTCGATGTTCACAAACAATTCGTCAGTTTCGATTTCATCCGAGAAAACCGATTCGTCGGCCACGGCGGCTTTAACTCGGTCGCCACGATTTCAGCCATCTTCACCAAGAAATCCAGTCACAGGACTTGGTTGCCAGGCCGCTGATTTATATTGTGGACGTCGACGAATTGCACGAGGTACACTTGACACCCTCTTCCCAATTCAGTCGAAATCGACGCACATTCTTAACCCAATGATTTGACTTAATTTTCCTTTTGATTTTCATTTCATTCCTGGGTTATTTTCACATCACCAACCATGTCTGTTCTTCTGATTGATTTTTGTAGATTTATTTACTTTTGGGTAGATCCCCATTATTTCGTTATGGTTTTTATGGTTTGATTTCTAATCCTGACTCTGTTTATCTTTGAATTTATGATGATTTAATTAACGGAAAATAATTTTTTCAAGTTTTCAATTTTTTTGTGTAATTTATTTTTCGACATTTCATTTCAATTCAAATGGTACTAATCGAGACATTTTGATTTAATTAGATGGAAATCCGATAACTGGCGAAGGATACAAGCGTGTCGCAGCCGAAATCAACACTACTATACCAGCTTTAAATGGTGCCAAACAAGAGATCTACAAAAATCGTATACCACCAGGTATAGTTTTCGGCTTTTCTGAAAATTTTCCTTCCCAATATGAATGTCAAATGTCTAAAATGCAGTCTATCTAATATCTCTATACATTTTTTTTTAATTTACAGGCGGTTTCTCTTCCGGTTTGTGGTAAATCAAGGCGTCCATCCGAAATGTACCGCATTCAGCCCGCAACATCCATTCAAGGGCTGCAGAACAAATATTTGTTCGTCTACCGGGCGAGCGCGCATCGATTTGAAAGCCGTTTTCCATTTTCAAATACATAATACATTTTAATTTTCACTATACTCTTTGTCGCTATCACTATTCATTTTCTTAATACAAATAATAATAATTATTATTATAATAATGATTCAACGATTTTGGAAAATATCCTGAACATGTAGCAAAAAAAAACCTAATAATGATACATTTGTTTCGTGCTATTTGATAAAATAATATGACAAGGATAAACAAAATGCAGCAGAATACACAATCAAATAATAAACTTAGTATCGTAGTGCATCATTTCTTTTTTTCTGTTCACAAAATGCAATTACATCAGATTCACAATGTTTTTTTTCAACCGATTCGAAAATGAGATAAAATAAATTCAGTAACAAACACAATTCATTGAATCCGATCAAAAGTAGGAGTTGTGAGTTTTATAGATTGATTATTATTATCAGAGTTTCTTTTTCGAAATCTTTCCGAAATTTGATATCTAAATAATGTGGTTATCTTTTGAACGCCTATCAACTAAAAACAAATCCGTGTATTCTTACTTTTAGATTAAGAGTGTCTTTTTCGTCATTCATTTTTTCCGATACAAGTTTCAATGGAATAAATAAAAATATCATTTATCACTTTAATAATAAACAAACTGGGTGTTTCATTTTCGAAAGCATAACAATAATTGGGCAAAGCGGTGCAACGCAACGCAATGCAATGGAAAGCTGAACGGTAAACGAAGGGATAATGATAAATAATTGAGTTGAGAACTGATGGGACGATAAACAAACTTTATCCATGTTGTTGGACGATAAACGCATGATAACGGCTAAACGAATCGATAGAAACTGCACATTTGTGCCAGTATTTACCTGTAGTTTGGCCAAAGCAGACGTGTACTCGAATAACTTGTGATTCGTATCCTTGTATCAGTTTTGAAGCATTTTTTCCAATAATGCTCAAACCATATCTATTCAAAAGACGAAACTATGGGCGCCTGTCTATAAGCTACGCTCGGAAATTTTTACTCGGTGTCCTTTTCTGTTATTTTATCTTCGACAAAATTCTTTTTAAAGTTATTGAAAAGGTGAGTAAAGAAGCGGGTTGAAACGTTTTGAAAATAATACTCTTATTTTAATCGAATTTTGGAATATTTCATAAAATTTTGAATACAGAATGTGAATTTAAGGAAGAATTGCATTGAACGAGGAATATATGAAACATTGCCTTTTCCTCTAACATTAAAATTCTATATATTCGATATTCTCAACAAAGATGAAGTTCATAATGGGAGTAAACCTATTTTGAAGGAGATCGGTCCATTTTATTTTGAGTATTTATTTTGATATAACTATCATTTTGAAAAAAGAAATTTTCCCCATATTTTTAATCATTTGACAGCGAATACATTTGGAAAAACAATATAAGTGACAACGATGCAGAAGATACAATGGCATTTAATATTATGAAGAAGTATATATTTCGTCCTGATTTAAGTAAAAACCTAACAGGTGATGAAATAGTCACCACCATGCATCCCGGTATATATTTGCCATAGAATTTATTTCGTACACGTAATAGCAAAATTCTAAAATCAATCATACTAAAATATTCACGCTCATTACAAAACAATTATGTACTTACCTTGACCAGCATGATTTTTGTAATTAGAAGATCAATATTTCGAATGATAATCAACCACATTTTGATGTGTTCTTATTTCTAGTTATTGCCGCAATCGGGTTAACTGTGCATTTCGAATTTCGTCAATTCCTGCATGTCGCAAGCACAGCCATCAAAGAAATATTTCATAGTCCGACAGATGCTTTTTGGACGGGAAAAGCAATGGATTTACTGTATAATGGCATCGGAATTGATTGTAGCACAAAAAATCCGTTGGCCAAACTTGCATGCAACGAAATTAGGAAGAGTAAAAATCCAATGATTCAAAAAATGAATAGAACTCAAATGAAGTTCTCGATTCTAGGAGGAGTGAGTCTCATTCATTCTCGCAACGTTCTTATATTAATTCTGTAAACTTGTTTTTTCTCATTGCTTTTTCTTAGGTTAATTTCACATCAACTGGTCATTGGAAAGTGAATCGAGGAGTAAAGAATATTCGTAAGGCTGGACAAGTTATAGAAGTTGATGGTCAAACCGAGTTGAAGGTTTGGGGAGAGGGATCAAATCAATGTAATCAATTGGTCGGAACGGATGGTTTACTTTTCACACCACTTCAGGTTTGAATTCAGGAGTTTCTACGTTAATCAAATGACAACGTTAATCTGAAAGACCCACTTCTTTTGTTCTTCAGTCAAAAAAGAAGCCACTTACATTCTTTGTTCAACAAATATGTACTTCATTGCATCTAAAGTACGAACAAACAGCAAGCTATCGAGGAGTTGACCTTCATACGTTTACGAAGGAATTTGAGGATTTTTCCGCAAACAATTTGACGAGATGCTTCTGTCGACAACCTGACAGATGCCCAATACAAGGGACAATGGATCTATTGCCATGCGTTCAAGTACCGGTCACAATATCGCTGCCACATTTTTATCGTGCAGATCCTTCGCTTCTCGCGAACATCGCTTCCGGTTTAAAACCAACCAAAAAGAAGCATGAGTTTTTCATTAGCTTGGAATTGGTAAATTTTCAATATATTTGATCCAAACAATGGAACGTTTTTCTGAATCGTATATTGCTTTCAGAATTCTGGGGTTGCGCTCCGTGGTGCTGGACGAGTGCAGATCAACTTTGAAGGTATTAAATAGGTTCATATTCGAATATTTTCGTCTCATAAATCTTCTTCACTTTTTCGACTTCATATTTTAGAGTAGAGATGACTTTAGCGCACCCCCGAGTATTTGTGTTGTTTTTTTCTTCGTTATACTTTACCTTTTTGGCCAAAACAACTTTGTATCAATATTTTGTGTAACATAACAAAGAACAGTTTTTGAAAAACCACATTTATATTAGTAAAATTTAAAGAAAATCCCCAAAAGTAGAAATTGAGTAATATTGCGAAATTGAGTCAATGCGCGAAATTACTAAGTGCATATGACCACACAATGCGAATACCGGGGGCAGAAAATGTAAGCTCTTCTTCGTTATGTTACACAAAATATTATTTAAAAAAATGTTTGGCCAAAAAGCTAAAGTAGAACGAAAAAACAACAAAAATACTCGGGTGCGCTAAAGTCATCTCTGGTTTAGAGTAGATTCGGCAAATGTATATAATGTGTTTTTTTTCTTCAGTGGAACCGATAAAGGAAATAGAAATCATGGCAAATCTACCAAAAATGATTTTCCCATGGATCTGGTTCGAGGAATCAGGTACATATGAAGAATTGAGATAGAAAAAAAAATAATAATGATGATATATTTTTCGATGAATCAGCCGAGGTACCTGACTCCCTAGTAAACCTGCTCAAATACACTCTAACTTTGTAAGTTGAAACTTATTCCAGTATCAGGGAATATAAACTTTGAATATTTTATTCAAACATATTATCCAGAGCAAAGACTATCAACTGTGCACTTCAATGGATTACCCTTACTTATTGGTTGTTTGGTACTATTATATGTACTACATTATTCGTGCTGAGTCGATACGCTAACGTCAACATTTTTGAAGAGGGACAAAGTGTGTTCATGAAAAGTCCAAATTTATCTAAAATTGGGGCTATTACCACGGCCAGTGAACTATCGGACAAAGTAAACGACGGATTGAAGACTATCGATGAAAAAGATGCTGATGTGAACGTGAATGGGGAAGACACTAATAGCCATTCAAAAAATGGTGCAGTCATATTGCTCAATGAAATTGTCACGAAGGCAGCAAGTGCTGCTAACAAAAGTCGATTGCAGACAGATTTTAACTCTATCAAGTTCTAAAATTACGTTCAATTTCTTTTTTCATGCTTGTATCAAGTGCAAAATATCACTACACTTTTCACATATTAAATATGTAACATTTTAGGTTTAGCCAATGCCAAAATTGTGAAAATATTGTTACTCTCATAACTATATTTTTTATAATAGAAGAGGCGCTTGCATAAGCCACAATCACGTTCTAAATAAACAAATTGCTTACGATAAAAAAAGAAATTATGTAATTTTTTTGTGCTGCCTTCGGTGAACATGAAAAGCATTCAATTTTGTTTTTATTCGGATTGGTGGCTGGCCACATCCTATCTGAACGAAACACAAAGGTCACCTTATTTCCCACTGTTCGGTTTCAGTATTTGGTTCTAAGAAACCCGATACTCTATTGTCTATAGGTTTAAATTAGAGGCTTAACAATTGACTACTATCTGTAACTGTTAACATGCGAGAGATTTTGTTGATTATTCGTTTTGTTTTCTGAATTTGTGAACGAATCAGTGGGAAAGCATTTTGAGGCTAGATATTGAAACCACCAATTTTCGTTAAATATATAAAATCTATATTGAATAAAAAATATACATCTTTCACTTCAATTTTTATAACTCTTATCTTCACTTATTGCTACTGAAAAAACTATAATTGTTGATAATATGCTACAAAATACATGTTTTTCCTTTTTTTCTGTGTATATCTCAAATTTTCAAAAGGTTTCTGAATTTTTACAATGGTTGCAAAGAGAAATTTAACAAGTTGCCAACACCAGGGTAGAAGAAAATATTCTTTGGCGTTTGGGTGCTCATCTTGAGACCGAATTTGAGTTTAATTTATAATTTTGAACTAATCGTGAACCATATGTAATGTCGTTGTAATGTTTGATGTACAGGTAAGTGATTGAGAAATTCGCTAATTTTCCCAGGCTTCATCTCTCAGTTTTGCTGCCAACAGCTTTCGCTCTGTTAAATAAAAAAAAAAGACATTTAGAGACAACCCAGGCAACCGTTAGAATAGACCACGTTATCGTTGTATACCTTTGGCTTCTTTCAGCACGCGCCGTTCAATTTCACGTTCCTCTCGGGCAGTGGACAACCGCACACCTAATGCACCAGTAACCAAACGACGTGCCAAAGCCGCACACGTCTCGGGACGCTGACGATACGGTTGCAAAAATAATGCACTTTTCTTAGCTCTTGCTCTCGATTCGGCCGTTGCTTGAGTGAGAGGTTTCAGTTTAATAAATGGATGACCTGTGTTCAGCGCTCGTGCAGCTAACATAAAAGCGATCTCTTAGTTTCTATCGTATTCAATTGAATATTGTATTTTTCGGAAATTTAACTCACCAATTTTGGAGCTGCTGAACACCACTAATGCGTGAGTATCATCAACCCATTTTATGTCAAAACCTGAGTCCTTATATTCGCAAAAGATCATCATGAGATCTTGTGTCTTAAATTCAACTGGAAAATTGGAAATCTCTAATACGTGCGGGAATTCTTCTTCATCCAAATTGATTGGCTCTTCATAGCTCTTGTAATCATTTTTCGGCTTGGTAATTGAAACCTTACCAACGCTAGCCGTGATTTCGTTCATGACTTTTGGATCCAGGCATTCGCCATTATCATCAAACATGGACTCCCAGTCATCTGTCTCAGAAGTAGCAGTCTTTTTCTCGCACACTTCCGTTCGTTTTGTTTGTGTGGTCGAATCGGCATTTGATTGCGCTTCAGCATGAGGTGAAATTGTTTTTTTCTCTAACTTTGATTCTGTTTCAGGTGGGGATTGTTTCGATATTACCGACGGTGTTTCATTTATTTCCAAAACGTCACTATCAAACGTCTGCTTGATGATACGTCGATTACGGCGGTTTATTTCCTACAATAATAGCAAATTTCAATAATTGGTAGAAGAACTATAGAATTAAGACTGAATAAATTAAATTTTAGATAATCGGAATGGCATATACCTTCGACGCTCTTTGAAATTCTCTCTCTTCATTGTAGTCTTTATCAGAAGTATTCAGTGCACCCTCGATTTTATTACCTTCACACTTGATGTTAATGTTTGTTTCAGCCATATTTGAAATTGTATTGATTTTCTGCAATTGTGCTTTCTCTGCTTGAATGGCTATCGGTGATTGAGGTTTTGAATTAGGTTCAGCAGTAATTTCGTCGTGAAGAATCAATCCTTTAGTGTCTATTACTAGATCACGATGCTTCAATTCAAATGTAGCACTATTTTGATTGGGTGATGATGCTAGATTCGAGGAGGTAATCACATTTGTAGTTTCTCTATCGAAAACCTCCGTTTTGGAGGCAACACCAGAATTGAATATCTGTGCTGTGGGCGGTAATGTCTGATTGCGACGACCACGTGGAATATATACAGCTCTATCCGGCCTTTTTGTTCGTTGTCTGAACAAAATTTTGTGAGTTAATCGATGACGCATTTTGCATAATTCCAAATATTGAAAAATAATAAAATTCAAACTTTGAAATACCTTTGGTTATTCGAATGGTTTTGCGAGGGGGATAGATCCGTTGTATCAGCCGATGAACCTGCTTCTTCACCGTTATTACTCCAAGAGTTTTGACAAATGTCGTGGCGGAAGGCTACATAATTCAAAGAATTGTTATAATTTCACAAAATTTCTCATTTGAAAGCGTTTTCATATAGAAAACATGCGTAGGTATACAATAATGAAATGTGGTTGTCCTACGTTGTGACAGGAAAAAAACACCTTTATGCGCGATTAAATTCGGGGAATACATTTTCAACAAACGGTGATTCGTTTTTTTTCTCTTCATCAATATTAAAACAATCAAAATTCTCTTCACGTTCATGTGCTTAGTACTATCAAAACAACGGATTTAATGGTGCTCACGTCATACAATATCAGAGAGAATTATGTAAACACTCGCAACACATCAATGATGACATGGTTAACTGAGAGCATTTTGGAAGAATATTCGGCGAAATGAATTTTTTTCTATTCGTAAATCTTGACGTGTAGAAGCGAATTGAAAGTGGGTCACGCAACGACATCATATTCTTGTTAAAATATCTTTTCTGATCTTGGTGGGAACAGCTGAAAAATGTCCGACTTACTCGTTTGTTATTCTTGTTACTTTATCCACAGTCAAATTTCGATATTGATTAAAATTGAAGTTTTATTGCTTGTTTTGGAAGAAAATAAATTTTCACTTTTAATTTTTCACAAAAAAACTTTAAACAGCTGTTTCTCTTTCTTGTTTCTTTTGAAAAAACCGCGAACCGAGTGAGTTTCAATTTTGTGTTATTAAATGCTAACGCAGTGAATGTTCCATAGAGATTGTTCCGATGTGTACAAAAACATTAAACCTTTTGGAATCGAGCATTCGCCCAAAACTCCAATCTTGTATGGATTACTGAATGTCCGCCGCCAACACCAACACTATGAACACTACATTTAAATACCGCATCGAAAAGGAATTTGAAAATGGTAGGGCCAAGCACTACAATACATTAACCACAATACAAACACAATCGAACGACTACCTACAATATCACTAAAGCCTAGCTCAAAAATCAGTGTGTCGTTAATTTACCGCGCTATCTGAACGAGCTGAGTTGAAGTGATTGTGTGTTTTTAGTTTTTGTTGCTGTTGCTATTTCATGGTAATCTAACTGGTTTCGAACTTTCGTTAGCGTAAGATTGGCTTAGCGCTGTTGAATAATATTGCGAAGCACACGTAACGCGTTATGTTTTGATGCAGGTTCAAACGAAACAGAAAAAAATCATCGAGTTGGTAAAATGTTACATAAACTGGCTTATGTCTGTGTGATTGTGTGTCAAATAGACCGAATTTCGTTTTGTTTTATATTTGCTATCAAATCTATTACTATCTTTTTTTATTCATGAATCATTCAAATTCTACCATTAAGATTGAATAACTTTCGAGCATTTCTTGTTGAAAGTGAATCTGTTGTTATGCTTTCTGGCGTCGCCTTCTATTTATTTTTTGGCGAAACTTTGAAAGTATGCAAATTATCAAGATTTTTTGTTGTGACTTACGTTTTATCGTTTTAGCCAAGGCATCAAGATCTTTGATGCCCATCGTTGTTGGTGTCGGCGCTGTATCGCTGGACCGATTCGGTTTTAAGTACTTTCCGCCTTTTGAGTGTGAATTCTTTTTCGTATTTTCGTTATGTCTGCCACAATAAAAAGAGCAATAAACATAATTTGGACAGAATTTTCTAAACAAAACAAAATTACTGGACGTCAAAAAAGCGTGCCCACTGCTCAATCGAATGATATTCACCTTTCGTTGCAGGCGGATGTTTGTGTTGCGTTTATAATGCAGTTTGTATTAGCGCGAGAATAAATCAATACTCGTCGGTTGTAGCCTTGACTTATAGAGAATGACCCTAGTGAAGGGAATTTTTCACATAGTTTATGAATCAAAAAACGTCTATAACTGTTTAGCGGAGGAAACAACAATACACTGCAATTGAAAGAGAAAAATAAATATAGAGAATTATAAACGAATAATTTTTTCGTATAAATTGTTCTTTTATGCAACAAGTTTCATTGTCACACGTCACAATAAAAACTATTGGTACCAAAGTAAACGATAAATGCGTTGAAATAAGTAAAATCTAGCGATTACAAAATCAGTAATTTAGTATACACTGCACGATGCACGAAACTCTTTCGATACGCTGAATGTTATTAATAGAAGTCACAGGTGACATCATATTTGCGTCATAACTGTCTGCAGATAAACCATAGAATTGAAGACAATGAAAAAAATAGGTCAAGTTCATTAAGCATTTTGTGCGTACACATTTCTTTTCAGATGAATCGTCAATAAATTCAATTTTCTTTTTATCAAACAATGATTTGTGATTGCGTGGAACTGTAAAATAGAAACTAGCACTCCGTACTAGTAGTAGTAGAATTTAAATTTTCAATAAAATGAAATTTAAACGATTTTACATTGTAGAAACTTTGCACACTTTGTTCTTGTTAGCACTGACACGTTTTATGTGAAAATAAAACCAAAGCAACAAATCTTTACGCATTGATCTCAAAGTCAACAAAAACGTTTTATTTCTTACCAGTCGGATTTCAAATCACATTGTTTTTGGAACACTTCTAAGTCATCTTCGACTCTTATGTGAAATTCGTCTCTATCGTAATCGCTAAATGCATCCAGCTTGAATCGATTGACTGATTGATTACACAGCGTTATTCAGTTGTTTTGTGCCCGTACCTATTGCTATCGATCAGATGCAATAGATTTTTATTTACACTTACGGCAATTATTCGTTCAACCTTTTTGCTAATTAAATGTTTCAAATTAAACTGAATTATTGAACTAGTTATTGCTTATATTCAATTTAGAATTTTGTAATTGACGAACTTTTCTTGCTTTACTTCTCTACGCACAATGGAAAATTTAACACACAAAAATGCTTTGCGAGAATACATATTTTTCTTTCTTTATTATTTTATTTTGACAGAGCCAAATTTGACGTACGAGAAAAGTAGTAAGTTTTCATTGGCAAGAAACATTGGCCACAGCATTTCGTTAGATGGAGCCACGTGTAGAGCAACCAGATTCGAATTGAATTTTACTTCAATTTTGGAGAAATGAAATTAATAAAATACGTTCTTTCATATATTCACAATGTTTTATTTTCAAAATTTATACTTATAATGTTGCTGTTGCCAAAGTATCGTCCGTGCTTAAATCTAAAAAATCTCCCGAAAACTTAAATATAAACGGTGTCCAAATCAAATTATTTCACAATGTGATTAGATTTTCACATGTCGATTGAATTAATTCAATCCTGTCTTTTGTTCGTGCATATGGCGTTGATGATTTGATATAGCTGCGGATTATTCAACATCGTTAAGTGGGTGCCTTCGATGAAATCGACGAATACTTGGCCGTTTGTGTATTGTTGAAGCTGATAATCGTTTTCAATGTCAACAACCAAATTACTTTTTGGGCGAATCAATGTGATGTTTGATTGGATTTTGTCGCCGGTGTACACTTCAGCTTCACGTAACACCATTCCCACACGATTAATAATGCCATAGCCCATGTGCTTTATATATGAGTGGGTATAGTCGGGTTTTTTCATCAGGCCAATGTATTTATCCATTCGGGCCTCAATTGTCTTTTCTTTTAGAAGTATTTTTTGAATTTCATGAGTTTGAACTTCAGGTAGAACTACGTATGCAAGCTGCGCTTGTAGAAATATGCCAACATTTTCCTGACTTGGATCCATGTTTGGCATCAAAACTGCTAATGTTTTTTTTAATAATGCTGTAGAACCATCTGCAATAATGACCTCACCGGTCAAGCCATTTCGTTCAAGCAATTTTGCTAGTTCGATCGCCACCAGTGAACCGAATGAGTGAGCGGCTAAGTAGAACTTCTTCTTACCGGTGAACAAATTCAGCACATCCTAAAGATAAAAATGGAGCATGCAGTTAAAATTGATACATAAAGATATTTTCCATTTAGTATTGGACTGTCGCTTACTTTTGAAATCATTGAAATCAGATTTTGGAATGTCTCTTCCTTGTAATGTGCATGTAGTTGCAGGGCAAATATCGGTATTTCAATATTCTTACATAGTGTATATAATACAGGACTGATGACACCTTCTATTCCAGGAATGAATAGAGCATAAGCGTCGCCTTCTTTCATTTTACCTGTTTCATTCAGTGGCGATATTATTTTGTAGGCAGTTTCCTCATTACCTATGCTACGGAGTAACATATTTCTATCGGCCTCCGATTCATTCTTGATGGACAAGGCCTTTTCGCCCTTTTTGCTGGAATCGGTAAGTTCTTGAAGCTTGGCAAAAGTTAGACTTCGCAAATCCTGGGCAGTCAAGTTAACATCAAATTCACGCTCGAGTACTTGTTTAATTTCAACCGCCATCAAACTGTCCATACCTTTACATCAAAATATCAAAGTTATAACGAAGAAAAATAATTGATTTTTTATTTTTTTTCGTACCAAGTTCAGCTAGAGATGAATTCTTTGAAATGGATTTTATGTCACGTATGCCCATGATGTGGAGCACACTTTGAATTGAATTCATTTTGTTTATAGCGTGTTTTTGAGCTACGACCATACTAGAAACGACTGCTTGCTTTGACGATAGAAGGCTATCCATCACATTGAGACAAGCTGAAATTCGTTGCTGCACCGTTCCAGCGATTTCAATGTCGATTTTCTCTTCAGCCATTTGAGCAACGAGACCAACCTCACCAACCGCACCCTGGAACGATAGAATGAGAAATGAGTATGGGGAAAAGAAATACAAATTGAGTTGCACGAAATGTTGTTAGTTACCCATTGAATTGCTTTTCCAGGCAAGTTATCTCTTACACGTTTCTCAATGATACGTTCCATTATCGAATTAGCCATACCGTAATTCATTTGACCTGCGTTACCGCGACCACAAGAAGCGCTCGAGAATACAACAAAATAGTGTAATCTTTGGCAAAGAGCTCGAGACAATTCGTCGAGGTACCTTGTGGCGAACACTTTTGGCCCGAATGATTCGAAGAACTTATCAGCAGTTTGATTTTCCAAAATGCTATCACGAAGCACAACGGCCAAATTGAAAATACCGCCTACTACCCCATGTGTCAGTGATTCAATAAGGAGCTTTTTACATCCTTGATTTGTTGTTATATCAGCCGTGCTGATGATAACTTTGCACCCGTATGATTCCCAAATTCTGAAATTGAAATGGAAACGGCTTTGAATTAATAGGTTGTTTGAAACAAGAAGAGTTGCCCATTGAACTGAACTGTTCGTGTTCGTTCGAGTTCGTTCGAGTTTTAACCAAACTTGAACCGAACATAAACTGAACTTTTGCATGAATTGAACAATTGAACTGAACACCGAACGAACAAGAACAAGAGATTTTCTTTTTCGAAAATTCTGAACCGAACGTGAACGAACTCGAACACAGATATGAATTTTGAACATTGTTCAATTCAATTGAACCCCGATGTGAACTGATACAAATGTGGTTTGAATTGTTTTTATTTTGAAAATTTCTTATGTTCAGTTCAATTGAAGTAGCGTATGAACAAATTTCGAACGAACTTGAACTGAACTTGAACATCAACAATGAACATCGTCTAAAACATTGAACATGAACTTGAACGAACATGAACAGATCTTCCCATTGATACAAACAATTGAACTGAACACCGAACGGACACGAAAACGAAATTTACAAAACAAATTCGAACTGAACTGTTCGTGTTCAGTTCATGGGCAGCTCTTGTTGTTTCACAATAGGCTATTGCTATAACTTACTTGATACGATATGCTTGATATCCCGTTTTTACGCCAGTACGTGAGCTGAGTACAAGTTTTCTGCAGCCTCGCAATACTAACCAATCGGCCAACTCCAATCCAAAGCCACCCAAACCTCCAGCAATTATATAAACCATATGAGGGTCACAGTATGATCTTGGAAATACTCGTATGGGGCATGACATTATGGATTTTTCATTTTCTCGCACTCGAATCAAGACCTTTCCGACGTGTTTGCCTGTGCTAAGGTAACGGAAAGCCTTTTCAATTTCATTTACTTGGAAAACAGTCGTGTGCAATGGCTGAATCAGTCCATTGTCAATATCTTTTTGCAGCATTTTATTAAGCAATGCGCGCTCCTTGGGTAAATAGAACAATCGGTCAGCAAAAACGGAGCGGAATTGAATTTCTTTTGCAAATGGTCCCATTGCCAGATTATTATTGTTGAAAATGTCAAATTTTCCGATCTCCAAAAATGTACCACCAAAACCTAAGCAACGAACTGATGCCTGTAATTTATCCTCAGCTAACGAATTCAAAACATAGTCAACACCTTTTCCATTCGTTTGAATCATAATCATATCCTCAAATGAACAGTCCCGCGAGTTTCCAATGTTTTCTTCTGCAAATGTTTAATGAATATGAAATGTATTTCTTCAATTATTTCCATTCTCGAATGATTTGAAAGCAACATAAGCACCAACAATTTTACATACCTTTTAGCTGGGGATATTGCTCCAAAATGAACTGTTTCTTTTGTTCCGAGGAACAAGTCGTAAATACTTCCATTCCATACGCAAGTGCAATTCGAATTGCACTTAGGCCTATACCCCCACTTCCAGCATGAATGAGGATGGATTTTCCCTTCGAGATTGGTCTATAAAAAAAGAACGAATAATAGATGGTAGTATATACTGCTGGAATTGTGGCCGCATCGCGCAGTGACATCGAATCTGGTACTTTCCACGTCAAATTGTCTATATTTTCTGTGGAAATAAATCACTTTAATCAGTTCGATCGGTTGATTAGAGAACATTCAATGACGAAAGAGCTCAATCATCATTTATATTTAGCTAATTTTACCTGTTTGTGTTCCTATTGATCCGGTCGGAATCATGCCCATTAATCTCTCTCCCTCCGGAGTTACTCCAGAATATTCCAAACCAAGTACGCATTGTTGTTCTATTCTTTTCTCGCTATGTACTTCAAGCGGCAAGCGGCCGGTTGCCAACATTACGTCGCGGAAATTGATAGCCGAGTAATGAATATTTACGAGGTTTTGCGATTTGACCGAATTTATCCAGCCAGTCCTCCATTCAAACGTTGATAAATCGCCGATTCGTAGAACATCCGCGTAGTAGTGTTCAGATCGACCCTTTTCTTCCATGTCTTTTTTCAATTGGAGATGACGGTATGCACCCCATTGTCCGTTTCTATAGACATTCACAGCCAAATCCGATTTCAATTGATTGCTATACAGAGCATGGTTGAGGTCGAATTCCGGTGCAGACTTGTCATCAATTAACACACATCGAATCATGTTTCCACCCGGCTCCCGACGAATACAATTGATCAAACCGATAATACCAGAATCGTAATTATTTTGCTCCACTGCGATTTTAAGCCCATTCTTAACAGCGTCTTTCAGTGGTTGAATCCATTCGAATGCCATATCGGTCGAGTCGATGCTAATGTGGGTTTTGTTTTGGTTGCTATCTTCTGGTGGAATTCGTTGCAGTAAAATTAATGTTTCATCCGGAATTCTAAGAAGGGAGATCAAATTGAAGCCTGCCGGACATTCGATTTCATTCCATCGAATGTGGTTATCTTCCCGTAGAACCAAAAATCCCTTATCAATCAAACTGGCTTTCGCTTGTTCAATCGACTCCTTGTTACTCAACCAATTTGTCCCAATAATTAAATGACAATTATTGTGGTTCTTGAGTTCACCATCTTCCACCTTTACATGGTCAATCTCAAGTTTGTTTTTGCGCAAAAGCGTCAATTCCGCCATAACTAATGGCATATTAACGATTGCTTCATCAAATGCTTGAATCAATGTCTTTAATTCTGGTTCTTCTGACTCTGTCTCTTGTTCCGTTTCTAACTGCGTCTCCATGTCTGTTCCTAATTTTGACTCTGATTCTAACTCCGACTCATCGGTATCATCAACTTCAACAATTTTGATTTTATATTGCATTAAATTTTCCATACCAATTTGCGTAATAATTGACGCAGCTTCAACGGGCTTCAATTCAATCGAATCATTATTGAACGGTATAAATTCATATGACTCTAACACTTCCGTTCCCGGTGCCTTTCGACGGCTTACTGAACTGCAAATGAGACCTTCGATCTCGATTCCTCCACAAGTAACGGTACCCAGTTCCTTGCTCATTAGGACTTGCATGACAGGATTTTCTGGATCCAATTGTTCAACAGCTTTCAAATGTTTTTCCATATTTATGCGGATCTTGCGAATGCTCGTTGGCAAAAACAGCGATCTAGAGTCAATGGCAAGAATATTGACCTGCAGCATACAATCCATAAATGATGGCCAATTATTTGCCCACTTGATCTTTCCAACCGTTCCATCGCTCTGAATTTCATTAACTGATTTGAAAATACCAGAATAATGATAGCCACGCAACCGAAGCTCCTTATAAAAATCTTTACTATCCAAAATGGTGGCATTTGGATTTGGTTTTATCCACCGTGAAAGGTCTTTTATGGGTTTACCGTTATTCATCCCTTTTATATTACCACTCATAACTGCTGTTGTACCTTCGCTTACTTCAAAGTCTCCCGTTCCAATGTGAACCACTAATCAAGAAGGAAAATGGAATTAGGTATTAGAAATATATATTTATTGCCTTCTTGGCTATTTTTTTCACCTATTGTCAGTTTAACTAGAACGTCTTTTGCGAGAGACGTAGCACGAAGGAATTTAACATTTTCAAATTCAATATCCAGACCCTCAAAGTGTGCGCCCGGAGTCATGCTATATTGTAATTAAATAATTAATCAATTTGTTTAATTTATTTATTAAATTAAATTATATAATAACACAGGTTATGCATCTAAACGTCTGACAGCTCACTTCTAGCGCTGCGAGACAAGTGTCAAAAGTTGTGACTCAGATCGTTCAATGTTTACCTCAAACTATTGAATTTTTTTCATATTCAATAATAAAGAAGACAAAAAAGAATAAAAGTGCCACGAATGTGCAAAATTGATTTTTTTAAACATCAACATTATTAGTAAAAAAAAATGTTTTTCATTACACTATATTGTTGATGAGTTCATTCAGTCGCGTTCATGAGTGCGTCTAACGACGTAAATAAATTGAAATGAACTTCACTAAATGAGCCCATCGCAAATTCGTGTTTTTCTTTGTTTTGTTAGTGTTATGCATAAGTTGCGATTAATAATCACCATATTATCGTGTCTCTAACGAAATGTAAGTAAGAAGTTGCAGGCAGTATGCATCTTCCTATAAAAGTTTCACAAAAATATGCTTGTTAAAATGGTGCACCATGCGTAGTCCTTTGATTGCTTACCGTCAATAATGTGGCCCGCCATGTATCTATAATCATCTTCGCTAATATTCAACATCAATTTTCTCTCGCAAGGAATGTTCGTTGCTTTTTCGTCATATTCATCAGCAGAAAAATCTTGGCTGTGATCCCAAAGAATCAGCGGTGAAATCATTTGTGTTCCACGCGACACAGGGAAGCTTACCGCAGGATACAAACGCTCAATCGGCATTGAAATGCCATTCATGAAAAGCCTAAATATATTCGAAAAAGTAATTATTCAACCTATTTACAAATTCGAAACAAACCAGAAATTACTCACTTTCCCAGCGAAGACAGGAAGAAAGTGGCATTTTCTTTATTTCCTCGATGTGTCAACGGAACATGAATACCTTTTGGCATGCATTTTTTAATGATGGCCTGCAACAAACCATGTGGAGCCACTTCGATGGTAATTGCGTCCACGGGTAAATACTTTTTGGTTCGCAAAAGAATAAATAGAATGGAATATTATGAAGTAAACGAGTACTTTAAATTTTTTTTGACTAAGTAGCCAGTCACTCAATTTTGAACATTTTGGCTGGCTAATGACTGACTAATGATTTTGCCGAACAAAATATTTCGTCGAAAATAATTTCACTATATATAATAAGTGGTCTGTATTTTCTTTTTCTTTGTTATTTCATTGCTTTTTTACCTTCGAAGCTTCCTCGAACAAAACCGGTTTCAACAAATTATTGGTATGGTATTCGGGTGAACTGAATTTATTTCCTTCAACGTCCCATTCATCTTTGGGTACACTTGTACTGATCCATTTGTCTGAACGCCGTTTTGGCTGTGGTACAAATTCACGAAGTTTTGTCAGAAGTTTTGGTCCCATTTCAGCAACGTATTTCGAGTGATATGGAATGTTTGAACAAGCTACTTCTCTTGCAAAAACACCTTTTTCCTTAAGTTCTTCAACAAACTTCGAAACGTCTTCCTTTGGTCCAGAAATTGTTGCCGAATTGCACGAATTATGGCATGCGACCTCCACGCCATGTGGCAGCATACCTTTGATTTCTTCATAACTCAAGCCAACAGCAGCCATTGAGCCAAAGGTGCACTGAGTTTCAATGCTTACTACGCCTCGTGCATAAGCCGCCAAAAGCATTTGTTCAGCAGTGAGGGTATCATCTGCATAAGCACACCCCAATTCTCCCACCGAATGACCGATGAAATAATCGGATGGAATGTCGAGCGCCTTCAAAATGTTTACAATTGCTATTTGAATGGCCGCAATACCGACGAATGAATTTAGAATATTATCGAATGTTGTTTCATCAGTAGACGTAATAATCGATAGTAGGTCTAATCCGTATGGTTTTAAAATTTCGTGGCATTGGTACATTGTTTGTCGGTAGATATCAATTTGCATCATTGATGTACCCATTCCAGTCCATTGCGAACCCATGCCAGTAAATACCCAAACAACTGGCCGTTTGATCACATCAACGTGCTCAATCATGCGACTTCTACACTTAGCAGTGAAATTGTTGTTGGCATCGGTTTTTCCTAAAATACTGTAGCCGCGATACAAAAAACCAGATTGTTCATACTTCTGAATGTTGTGCAATAATGCAATCAATTCTGCATCCAATGGTTTTGTTTCAAGTGTATCAAAAACCTTTTCTACACCTTCCTTTGTACGGCCAGCCCATAGAACTAAACGTGGAACCGAATCATTCGGCATTCCAAAGTTGACCTTTTCTTTCTCAAAACGCGCAAATAGTACATGGGCTAATCAATACAAAATCATGTAATTAGAATTTATGAATAATTGAAGTCTATTTTTTTCAAATTATTCAACCAATCATTTTTACGTCTTACCATTTGCACCGCCGAACCCGAATGAATTAGCCGCGGCTAAATTTCCCGGAAGTGGTGTTAATTCCGTACATACTTTCAAACGACCTTCGACAAGAGCTGGGATATCTTTTCTTGGATTTTTGAAGTGCAAATTTGGAGGTATCGTTCCAGATTCAAATGCTAAAAGTAATTTTGTCACAGAGCAAATTCCCGAGCTGGCTTCACAATGACCCATATTCGATTTCACTGCGCCGATCAACAATGGCTCTTTGCGATTTTTACAAAAAACGTTGTCTAAACTGCTGCACTCTTCAGGATCACCGACCTTTGTTCCTTTGAAATAGAATAATTCGTTCGTTTTATTCACGATATCTAGTAAATATTATTTACTTGATTAAATTTCCAAAATTCGTACCAAGGCTTCGTGATAGTATACCTTAGCACGCAGTATATTTAAGGCTCGGTATAATATACCAGCATATCGCACACACACAGCTGCCGCACGCACTTCTCTCTCGCGCAAACGGTTGCGTACACAGCCATCGCAAGCAACTCAGAAAAAAAACTTGCTGTGAACGCAACCGTTTACGCGCGAGAGAAGTGTGTGCGGCAGCTGTCTGTGTGCGATATGCTGGTATATTATACCGAGCCTTAAATATACTGCGTGCTAAGGTATACTATCACAAAGCCTTGATTCGTACCGCCTTTTAAGAAAAAATTGTAATTTAAAATGTTGCTAGAGCTGTGAGCTATTTTGTTTACATATTCACAGTTTTTGACAGTTTTAACGATACTTACCAGTTCCATGAGCTTCAACATACGAAACCATGCGTGGATCAAGCTTTAAACTTTTGAAATAAACATTTTAATTTGTCTCCCAAAAATATTTTTAGATTGAATTGTTTGTTACCTCTTATAAAATTCGTCTATTAGTTTAAATTGCATATCTCTCGATGGATAAAGGATTCCTTCGCTCTTATATCTATATGTAAAAAGTAGTTATAAACAGAATTTTCAAATAGTTTTGAACTCAAATTGTTTATTTACCCATCCACATTGGTTGATGAATAGACTACTTTCCCATAAATACGTTTGGCATTGAGAGCCTTTTGTAAAAATAACCCACAAATTGATTCAGAACGAGCGTAACCCGATCCATCTTCGTCAAAACTTCGACATGTTCCATCCTTAGAGATGACACCCAAACGAAAGAAATTGATTGTGGTGAATGGATGCAACAGCAAATTTGTACCACAAACCAAAGCACTATCACATTTGCCATTTCTTAGGGCCATAAAAGCTTGGTCAAGTGCGTATAATGAACTACTACATGCTGTATCGATGGCAAACGATGGTCCATTTAAACCCAAGCAATAAGAAACGCTGTAAATCAACATCATTATATGTTTTTATTTCACACTTCGTGCGAACTGATGGGAAAAATCTTACCGATTTGCCAACATGGCTCTGCTACAACTGCATTATTGTTTGGAATATATGCGATGGTAAACAGAATGTTAAAAAATTATCTTCGTTTTTATCAAATAAATGTAATTAGTTACCCAGATATTACAAATCCGCTGCTGGTAGTTGGGTCGCAGACATGAAATTTTTCTGCTTCAGAGAAACAAACGCCAACAAAAACTCCTGTATTCGTTCCACGCAACGATTGTGGATGTATTCCAGCATCGAGAATCGCTTCGTATGCAACTTCGATAAGTCCACGTCCTTGGAAGCAAAATGTAATTGTAAGTGCAAAAAAATAATTTCGTTTGAAGTTTTTGTGTGCAATTGTACAAAGGTTTGCAATTGTACATGAGGTACAGAGGTTTATAAATGAAAGTGTACCTTGTGGGTCCATTGAATTGGCTTGTTTGCTGTGGATCCCAAAGAATGCGGCATCAAATTTGCTGATCGTATTCAATACGCCTTTGCGTCGTGGTAGCTCTTGAGAAAAGTCGTTACTCCACCGTGCTTCTCTTTCGGATGTCATATCGATCTGGATCGATTGAATTTGAAGAAGATGTAATTATGACCATTGCACGAAACCAATATGAATTTAAGTCAAGTTTTATGAAAAAAGTTTCAGTCACTTGGTTGTACCAATGCAACAGTTTTGCTCAAATCGAACTCACCCCATTGAACAAATGATGACGAAAATCTTCAACATTGTCACAGCTTGGATAGCGACCGGCTATACCACTAATAACGATTTCTTCCTCAGGACAAGAGGGAAAAATACGGAACAATTCATTCCTACTTGATACGTAGTTCTTTTCCGTTATGATTTCATTCTTTTTCATGTCGAATGAACTCATTTTCGACGACATTTTTTATATAATATACGACTCTTGGTGAATTGCACAATAAATTTATTTTCAAAATTATCCAATAATTCCTCACAAGCACTGGCTTCACTTGACGATGATGTTGACACAAGCACGTATACAAATGAACGAAAATTGAAAATTTTGTTAAGTCTTGTTAAAGCAGTAATTTTAATCACAAATAGGAGATATGATCCGGATACGATTTTAACGCGAACTAGACTAACCATTGTTCAAGAAATGAGTCGCTGTATTTATACAAAAAAATCTACATATCGATTGATCCAACATTAATAATATCGCAAAGAAGGGAAGCGACCAAGAAATGAAGTTGAACTTATGCAAAAATCGCTGACCCTCGCTTTTCTTTACTAATAATTAATATTATTATTTATCCATTCACTGTATACGCGTTTCCAAGAATGACCGCTAATAATTTATTCGTTCGTATACGAATTCGTCTGCCAATAATTTATTTGGATAGCTTAGCTTGATCGTTTTATATTGTAAAATTCTTTTAGTTCATTTTTTTTCAATTATCATTATTTATGCCTGGATTCAACGCCAATTCATGTGTTTGTATTTTTTAGACTCAGGTTTCACCGCATATACGAAACCATCCATTTAACAAATGCTTGTACATTGCAAAATCAGCTGATAATAAATACAATGAACGGAAAACGGAAAATGGTACGTCAAAGTAAAGTTTATGTGGCAGAACAAAAGTTCGGTATGTGTTCGCAAATACAATGATGTCAAATGTACAAATGAGTTTAACACAGATCGCAAAGGGGCATTTGTCATTTTCATCGACATGCATATTTCATTCAACGGGCAAATTTATTTAATCAAATTCAATTTATTCCGCAGTATATTGTTGATGTCAATTACATAATTGAAAGTTATATGAAATATGTCTGTATAATAATTGTTTGATAAAATAATTATAATAATAATGATAATAATAACTCATTTAACATTTTCAATTCAATTTGATTGTAAAACTATTGCGTTTATTTCAACTGAAACAATTAATTTTTCTGTTAACAAATTCTACCATTTTTTTCTCTTATTTTTAAATATATTTTTTTATTGTTTCGAACTGCGAAAAATAATCAACAAAAATAAGTAGTTGTTATAGTATATTAGCGATTGGTTCGTGTTGTTCAAATAGATCGAAACGACTTAGCGGTGGAAAAATTAATACTAAAAAATGTGTGGACATTGTTTCCAATCGCCGTTCTTTTTTGCCTCCCAGTAATTCCCCTTATAAACGTGCATCAAGTGATCGAAACCTTCACAGTCCTCGTCTTTGACTTTTTCAAACCATAATGGTTCGTAGGGTGCGAAAGCTATCTTGTTTGATGCAGCTGATTCGGCTTCGGCTTCCCGTTTTCGCCGTGAAGCGCGTTGTTTCTCCTCAAGTCTGCCGATGGCAAAGAAGATACACGGAATGAAGCATTAAGTTGAAAATGCTAAAAGGTCTATTTAAAAAACTATGGTTTATGTAAGTTATACCTAATTTTTTCCTGGTTGCTTTCTTCCCATTGACCTTCTTCCATAAGACGTTGATCAGGTCGAAGTCTTGAATCGGTTGGGGCAACGCCTTCCTCCATCTCATTCAGTTGGCAAGCAAGTTCCGTAAAGTTATAATATCTAAAACAAAATTGAGTAACGAAAAATCCGAAACATTATTATCCACCTTGTAAAAACTATAGAAAGATATTTATACTCACTTATCACTGTCGGGTGGTGGTAGACGACGCGTCCAAAGCGTTATATAATTACCAGTTTTATAGATCGGACTGTCTGTTGATCCACTAACACTGGTCACAGCAGCATATTCTATTTTATTATCCCAATTGCCATTCAATACATACTTCGCTTGACCCTCACGATCCATGATGACACCCTTGACTTTTCGTTGCGAATCTTTCGAGAAGTACGAATATGGAATGTACTTCAAATGACACTTGTAACCTTTGGCTGAATTTCGCCCCATGATATCCATATCACCGTGATGATCAACCCAAAGTTTGCCTAAGAGTAAAAGGTAATTTTGATTTTTCATGCTGGCACTAGAGGTGTCAACGGGCAAAATTTTGTCCGTCCGTCCATCTGAAAAATTTTTGAAAAAATTCGGACGTCCGGTTCGAATGTCCGAAAACACAAAAATTTTTTTCGGACGTCCGGTCCGAATGTCTGAAAACCGAAAATAATTTTCGGACGTCCAGTCCGAATGTCCGAATTTTTTTTCGGACGGACGGACGGACAAGGGGTTTTGTCCGAACTTTTTGAAATTTCTCGGGCGACCGAAATTTTTTTTATTGAAAAAATCAAAAGAAAATCGGATAAGAATACGCAGCCTTTTCTTATCCAATTTTTTTTTTGATTTTTTTAATTAAAAAAATTTCGGTCGCCCGAAAAATATTCGGACGTCCGAGAAATATTCGGACAAAACACCTTGTCCATCCGTCCGTCCGAAAAAAAAATCGGACATTCGGACCGGACGTCCGAAAATTGTTTTCGGTTTTCGGACATTCGGACCGGACGTCCGAAAGCTATTTTCGATTTTCGGACATTCGGACCGGACGTCCGAAAAGATATTTCGGTTTTCGGACGGACGGACACCAATGTCCGAATTTTTGTCCGTGTCCGTTGACACCTCTAGCTGGAACTAATCAACAAACAATCATGTCGGCCGAATTTTGATGAATAACAAAAAAGTAAAACAAAAAATCACTTGCCTACAATGATGTTATGAACGGTCGTTGTGACCTTCCTCCAGCTGTATCGATTGCCCGATTTATGGAACTCTACATACGCGTTGCCCAACGGAATCACTTGCAAATATTTCCCACGAAATTTCGTAGTCATTGTAAACTCTTGCCAGCAAGACCACTTGCCATCTTTGCCTTCACAATGAATCGCAGCCATTGGAGGATGATGGCTCACCTGTTCAGCGATACAACGCCAACCCAAATCATCGGTTCTATCACATTCATACGTTTCGCCTGTCCATAAGAAAAAAAGAAGTGCCGAGAAGAAATATGAAGATCATTGAATCACATAATTTAGAAAAAGTGAAGCATTTTAAGCCTGTTGACAAGACATCTATACGTTACCTAAGAGAGGGTTGAATGGTTTTCCTATCGACGAAAAGAAAAATTGACAAAAATTAGAATATCGTTTAACAATCAGGTGATTGAAACAAATGAACACAAAGATTAAATTTGTGTGAGTGCTCGTCAGAAAGAGGGCTGACTCATTTAGATTATGTTGCCATTTAAAGAAATAAACTATAATAAAAAAAATTCAATTTTTTTAAAAATATTAGTTATTATTTCTTTGAATGGCAACATAACCAATAAAAGGCAGCTCTCTTTCAAAAGAGCAGCCACATAAAGAGGACGCGTCTAGGTACCTGTCCTTGGTAAAGGCGACATCATTGTAAATTAAATTTGCTAATCAATAATTAAACCTACCTGTTCGATTTAACGTCGTCGAATAACTCGATATTGTGAAAGCGGCCACATAAGCCAATTGCTCACATGGATCTGTACAAGCAGAGGCTCTATCAAGAAGCTCAGAATATTCATAATCTTCAGTCAAACGCTGTAGCATCGAGATTGGTTCATTGAAGTTCACTGGCATTGGAATTTTTGATAAATCCTTTCCGATGCAATTTTTCATAATTGACCACAAATTCACCGAATGATTTGGCTTCTCCCTGATACGCGTGCGTCGCTTGCGACCGGCTTTATTCACAACAGCAACAGCGACATCACTGCTAGTTTGAATCGTTGATTCGTCAGAAGGGTTTGAATCACTAGTTTTCGACTGTACAGGAATCTATATGAAAAAATGTACATTAATTTCAAATCAAAACTGTTTGCAAAGTTTTCACATGAATCGACATACTTTCGATTGCGGCGGCTCGGTTTCACAGCTATTAAGTTCTTCGCTTTCAGAGGAACTGCCTCCGTTGATGTCGTTTATGCTTCGAGTGGGCGGTATTTTCAGACAGAACGTTCCATCCATTTCGGATAGTTCTTGTGCATCGTAAAACTCATTTTCATCATCATCAGATGTGGTCGAACTCACTGGATCTGAAACGAAAATTATAAAATATTTGACATTAATATGTAATCAAATTCGAAGAACATGTGTTAAATTGATTCACTTGGCCGATGACGATGTGCAGCCTCCTCTAAGTGAGAATGTTGTCTCGCGAGCTGCTCAACCATCTCTTGTAGCTGTTGTCTCTGATCGCGTTCATGTTGTAGCATTTTCGACCACTTGTGACCTTGACTTTGAGCTGTTTGAAGATAATCGCTGCATGCCTGATAATTTTTTTTAAAACAAATAAAAACCAACGAAATTAATACAAAAATGTTGAAATTCAAGGACAATGCGCTCAAGGATGCGATTGCTTACGTTGATCATAGCATTTGAGGAAATGCGAAACAGTGTCGCACGCTCAGTGACTAGCTTGGTTTTGCTCGCCAAATCGTCGCCGCTCTCCAATTCAGCAAGTACGATTTGTAGCGCTCGCCCGTTTTTTGATATAAGATCGTTGCAAGTTCGTAAATTTTCCAATTTCAATGAAAGTTCAGAAATGGCAGCATTTAATTCCTGACTGGGTACCGAAAGCACATTTTTATCGTCTTCCTCCTCATCGATTTCGATTGCACGTCTGTGTGTGAGAAATGTTTTGATTGAAAGTGTTATTCGGGTCTTTTGACATTCACATATTCGTTTGATGTTTAGTTCACAAAAATAACACCTCACACGTTTTCATGTGAACACACACACAAACTAAAAACAATTTCTTATCTAATAATTGTTCAAAACCAATTGTTTGTCGATAATAATAATTAGAAAGGGATAATTATTTAGGCTACTGATATGATATATGTGTCGAACTTACATCGACTTCGCTTTGGCCAGCTCCAATGCAGTCACCCAATTTTGACGTTCGACTTCGTTGCCTGCCTTGATGTGAAACGTTTGTGTTCCGCCATTCGTGATGACAAATGTACATGAATCGACTGTGTGTATGAGTGCGCTGTGTAATGAAATGGTTCCGCGACAAGTTTGACTCATTTCGGCTTGGTTTCTATAAATATGAATGCGATAAAGAAGGAAAGAAGAAAAAGAAACAGAGTGAGCCACAACAATAATGAATAGGAATTGGGAGTTCAATGCATGCAGTGAGAGTGCATGTTTGCGAATTTATTCGGTGAATTTTTCTTGAGTCTTATATGTTTTGGTGTGTCAACACCGACCGTAGTAGCTAGCAAATAACAATCCATAAAATTAAAGAAAAAAAATATTGTACATTGTGAAGGTCATCCAGAGAGCAGCATGTGAATGGAAGTTCTTTCAATTAGGTTCTCGTTTATTTAGTCATTACTTTACACATATATGAATGCGATAAATCAATTTCAAATTCAACGAGCGTTCAATATTGATCGAAATGGGAAAAATTGATTCGATTTTACAGATTGTAATGTCAATCGTACGCTACCAACTGCGTTATTTCTGGTTGCAATTCGTGCAAATTGACACGAAATGTATTTAATTTACTAGGAGTAGAAATAAAGATAGCGAGACACAGAGAGTTAGGATAAATATTTTATATGAGTATATATGTCATTAATGCATGCACAGAATAATATTTTCGCTTTGTTTTGTATGTGACCATGTTTTATTAAGCTATAGCATGAATACTTTTGGAACGCACGCTGATTCCACATAAATTTATCATTGCCGCAACACACATATGTGTTTATATGTAGAGGAGCAACAAGAACAACAGCAGCGGCAGTGGCAGGGTCGCATCAATAGTCATTGTTGTTGTTGTTGGCGTTGATGTAGGATTATGAATGTGTTATAAAATCATATTGCGTATGATATCATTAACTAATGAAAGAACGGTCGATTCACACATTCACAGGTAGTTGTTTGCTTGAGTTGTTGTACCTCTTACGAATTCAAATCGAATATTTCGATTTGAAGTGACGAAAAATGGACGGTAACTTTGATCAAATGATAGTTCACATTGATGGAAATGTTTAGCTAAATGTTTTGTATATAGTTTGCGAACCTGTAGTATGAAAGAATGCCACCAGATAGAACGAACCAACGCCGTTGATACCCTTTGATGTAGTTTGTCCATTTTAGTAAGAATCCTTTCATTTCCACATCATTTCTGCTATCTGGCTTGGCATTTGCAGCGACCGAATTCGATTTTGCCACTGCTTCAGCCATCTCCCCATTTGTATTCACTCGAACTCCACCAGCACACTCTACCAATCCAACGATTAACCGAAAACAAACAATTTCGCCCACAATTTCAACTTTTGTTTGTCCAATTCACTAGATTTTTTGTAAATAAAATAAATACAACAGTTCAACTGCGCAAAATATGCAACTATTCGACTTAAAGCAGACGGACAAACATTATTGAATAGCAAAAAAAAAATGCTTTGAAACGAAACGTGGCTCAACAATGCCAAAAGAGTTTAGATGACCATTTTTCTTTTCTTAGTAAATCTGCAAATGTCAATCCGCTAGAAATACTTTAATAGCCACGTTCATTATTTTCGTTACTGTCTTTGAATCGCTTTTTCACACTATTTTTTTTATTGCCTTCACAGTCGAAGAACCTGTGTACAATCCAATACAAAAACCTGTCACTGTATGATAGAATTGAGTTAACTGTATGTGTAAATCGAAAGTCATAGCACAATACAATTTGATTTGCTGACAATATGTCAAGAATCTAACTTTTTTTCCTATCGCTTATAGTTTTTTATATCTTCACTGGACATTTACATTGTTGCCATTGTCATTGCTGTTTTATAATCATTCAGCTTTTTTTTCCTCCATATCGAATGTAAGTTTGTTACTGTATATATACTTTGGACTCGTTCACTCATTCACTCGCACCACAACTATCAACATATATGTATGTCAATGAATAGCTGTTTCTTGTACAAAGACAGTGACGACAACAAGATATGCGCGCTGAATTCGTTTCATTTTTCAGCAGAGCTGTCAATGTCATCTCTCATGTCACTTGCACTTGGAATTTTGCTCTGACTCAGAAGCACACGTGTTTTCAACCATTAAATTTAATTTCCAACGAAAATAATCTGAAGAAAATCGAATATTTCTTGCTGTCTTGAACTTAAGGAGTGTTTCAAAATGGTCGCAATGGTCGGTGACGACAAAACCGAGCAAATTGGAAAACTTTTGAACGACACAAATCGTCCGTTGAAGGAGCGATTTCGAGCATTGTTTACATTAAAGAATTTGGGTGGTCCAGTTGCAATCGAAGCAATTGCCAAGTGTTTTGCAGATAATTCAGCATTATTAAAACATGAGCTTGCCTATTGCTTGGGTCAAATGCAAGATTCTGCAGGTAAGCCAAATTAATCAATTTTACCTATGCAAATCCAATTTCATTCGGAAACATTGTTCGAAACTCATGTGTGCGCATATTTTTATCATTAGCCATTCCACATTTGGTGAAAGTCCTCGAAGACAAATCACAGGAACCAATGGTGAGGCATGAAGCAGGTAATGCAAATCGTTGTACTGGAGTAAATAAATTTCAGTGTTAATAGTGAATGGAAGAATTTATTCGAATTCCTATTTTGATTATAGGTGAAGCGTTGGGTGCCATAGGTCATCCAGACGTTATAGCAATTTTGGAAAAATATCGACATGATCCAGTTGTTGAAGTGGCTGAAACATGTGAAATTGCTTTGGATCGTGTAAATTGGCTGCTTTCAAAACCACAGAACGTAAAGGACGACAACCCATATGCTTCAGTGGATCCATCGCCGCCGGCAGATTCAAAAGATATTGCCAAACTCACAGAAATCCTCCTAAACGAAGATGAAAAATTATTCGAGCGATATCGTGCTATGTTCAGCCTAAGAAACATCCAAACAGTTGAAAGCATAAATGCATTGGGGAAAGGTTTGAAATGCAAAAGTGCATTATTCCGCCATGAAATCGCTTTCGTACTAGGTCAAATACAAAACGAGTGCAGTATTAAAGTTCTGACAGAAAATTTACAAGATGAACATGAAAACGAAATGGTTCGACATGAATGCGCCGAGGCATTAGGCGCCATTGCTACAGATGATTGCATTAAAATCTTGAACAAGTATTTGAATGATGAGAAACAAGTGGTGAAAGAAAGCTGCGTCGTTGCACTGGACATGTGTGAATATGAAAATAGCCCGGAATTTCAGTATGCAAACGCCTTGGCCACAGTACAGTGAACGAAATGTAAAAGAATCACAAGTTTGCAAGTTTGTTGACTAAGTTAACTGATCGTTTATTTTTATTTTTTTATAATATAATATAATACTATAATATACCGACCACCACAAATAAAACCCATTGAAACCAACGATGTGATATTTATTTTATACAAAATCTAATGGAATAATCTCATACAAAAGAATTTCAAAGCCGCTGAATATAGTGTCTCATTCACATTTTCTATTCGTCTTACGGTTTCTTTCTAATGTAACCGAACATTCATGTATGGAAAAAAATGAAACAAGGAAAATATCTGTCAAATTGAAGAGCATGAAGATATTCTTGCAACTCACGTAATATTTCGCTTTTATTGAATTAAACCTATAAAGATGACATCGAAAAAAGCAGTGGAATTATTGAAAGAAATAGTTAAGTATTCCCAAAAATCTACAGGGTTTGAACAAGTTTTAAAAAATGTAAGTGTTCACTTCACACATTGTCCTTGGGCTCGAATATTGAAGTTCAAAGTTTTTGACTGTATAGATTCAGGTAACTGGTGGTGATGTGGGACACTGTTTGGCAGAGTTTGTTGTTAAAAAGGAAAATTTGAACGCTGGAGGCGGACTTCATGGCGGTTTCACGGCCACAGTTGTAGATAATTTCACAACTTATGCTCTTGTTACCACGAATAGTAGTCCTGGCGTAACTGTTGATCTACATGTTAGGTTAGAATAACCGAAAATCATGTATCTTATGCACATAAGAATAATCACTTTCATTCGTTTTTTGCAATTAATATTATATGCAGCTACCTAAAGGGAGCTCGAGAAGGAGACACAATTATTGTTGATGCCAAAGCAGTTAAAACGGGTAAAACTTTAGCATATCTTGAATGTGAATTGCGTAACAAAAACACCGGACAAATTATCGCCAAAGGTTCTCAGACAAAATTTGTTGCATCTCCATAAATAATAAAATAGTAATTCAAATATAAAATAATTATTGTTAGAGTCATTTCACTTTTCAACGCTGTTTCAATCAAACTCACTCCCTACGTCGTAGCGCTGAATGTTGAGTTTTCTGTACCTCCCTCTTGTTGAGTTTTGACAGTTGTGCAAGTGTCAAAGCAAACGTTCTCACACAAAACTTAACTCAGCAAACAAACCGAATGCACACCTTTTCAACAAAAACAAACGTTTTCTCAGAAAGTTCGAGATAAAATTGGTTCTGGCTGATTGTATCCCAATAAAATCAAAAGCAAACATTATTCCGCAGAAATGGATATTGGGGAATTGCTTTCATATAAAGTAAGTAAGAGATTTGAATGTGGTAGTTTTTCTCAATGAAGCGTCATATTAAATGTGGTTAAAATATTTTAGCCGGAGCAAACACCGAAACGACCGAATGAAGACCAACATTCGGATGATGATGACGATGATGCGCCCGAAAAGAATTCGAATGGTCAATCGCGCAAAAAACAAAGAACATTCGAAGGCAGATCGTCATCTTTGGCGAATAGTCGTGCTCAAGTCCATAGTGAGCCGGAGCTCACCGAAGAAGAGCGTCTGAATATTTTGCGGTATGTGGAAGAAGAAGAGGCAGCGGATTACGAAACTCTCGACGAGAATGGTTTACGGAAAATGGTTTTACTGTTTGAGAAACGAAATCTTCGAAACCAAGAAATGCGAATAAAATTTCCGGATAACCCGGAGAAATTTATGGAAAGTGAAATTGAATTGCATGCCGTGATTAATGATCTCAAAGTCGTCGCTACGGTACCCGATCTCTATCCACTGTTAGTTGATCCATTAAACGCCATTCCCAGCTTACTCGAGTTGCTCGCCCATCAAAATACAGACATAAGCGTTGCAGTAATTGATTTACTTCAAGAACTGACAGATGTTGACATTTTACATGAAAGTTTGGAAGGAGCCGAAGTGTTGATCAATTGTTTACGTAAACAACAGATATGCGCACTTTTAGTGCAAATTTTGGATCGACTTGATGAACATGTCCGTGAAGAATCCGACGGGGTTCATAATTCATTGGCAATATTCGAAAATTTGTCCGAAATTCATCCATCGATTTGTAAGGAGGCCGCCAGTCAAGGTTTACTGCAGTGGCTGGTAAAGCGGTTGAAGCAGAAGGGCCAGTTCAATCCAAATAAATTGTACTGCAGCGAAATCTTGTCGATTTTAGTTCAAGATGACGATGAGATTCGCTTACAACTGGGAGCACTAGATGGAATCGATGTGCTTTTGCAGCAGTTGGCCGCCTACAAGAGACACGATCCAACTTCAACCGAAGAGCAAGAGTACATGGAAAATCTATTCAATTGTTTATGTTCAAGTTTAATGGCCAAAGAAAACCGTGATCGATTTTTAAAAGGTGAAGGACTTCAGCTCATGAATTTAATGTTGCGAGAGAAGAAATTATCACGAAATGGTTCACTCAAAGTGCTCGATCATGCAATGTCTGGCCCAGATGGCAAAGAAAATTGCAATAAATTTGTTGATATTTTGGGACTGCGCACCATTTTCCCACTATTCATGAACACACCTAAGAAAAGTAAGAAGCGAGTTATCAGCCGTGAATCGCACGAGGAACATGTTCTATCTATCATTGCTAGTATGCTTCGAAATTGTAAAGGATCACAGCGTCAACGTTTGTTGTCGAAATTCACGGAGAATGAATTCGAAAAAGTTGAACGTCTGCTTGAATTGCACTTGAAGTATTTGGACAAGGTCGATGCTATTGATGCTGAAATCGATGAAGATAACGAAGAAGATGAAATCTATTTGAAGCGTCTGTCAGGAGGTTTGTTCACACTACAATTGATTGATTATATAATACTGGAGATTTCCGCAACATCTGAATCCATCAAACAACACGTGGTTAAAATTTTAAACCTAAGAAAAGCATCCATGAAGCGCATTCGTCATATTATGCGAGGTAAAATCATTCAATTTATTATTGTAAGCACTTTCATACTGACTGGTGAGCCCTCTTTTACTTCGTTTTTCAGAATATGCCGGAAATCTGGGTGACACGGAAGACAACGAATGGCGCGACCAAGAGCAACAACACATCATTCAACTCGTTGATCGTTTCTAAAATGAGTGAACTTAAACTGTGTCACCCAGTTAAAATCATTCATCCATTGTAACACTATAAATAAATAAAGATCAGAAAAATCCAACCAAAAGGTTCGAATTCATTACGATAAATCTGTCGTTGTATTGATGAAACTATAAAAAAAATTCAACGGGATGGTCTAAACGGAGTTGAAGAATATAAAAAGCCAAAATTTATTGTAGACGTAAGCATCTCATTTGCTCTCGACTTGAATACACATATTCATACATACGATTTACCAACATTTCCACTGTTTAATTTTTGCAACGACAAACGTCAATAGTTCAACTGAAACTCACACTGTCAACTGTCAAACATGCCAGTTTGAACAGAACACAAGTTAAACATAAACAACGGCGTGAGTTCGTTTAAATATAAAATACAAAGGTACAGGATGAAATGAATGTTTGAAAAAAGAAGATAATAATGCAAATTTAATAAAATTTTCGTTTTATCAGTCGTTTGTGTATGTCACATAAAAATACATCATTTTTTCAATACAATTGCACGTGAACATTACGATCAAATGAAATCGTTAGATTGTGTACTCAGATCCTGGATGTTAAAAGCTAAATGAAATAGAGACATCTAAAAAAAAATGTGCGGGATGGGCAAGTTTAGCGATAAAAATAATGAGGAATTCGGTTAACAACGCCTCCAATACTGATTGCAACGAATACAGACGTGACGTTTTTTTTGCCCGGAAAAAGATAAGAACTATCGAAAGGTGCATACAGATACAATTCATTATTGTTTGCTTATAACCTTTGATGTTACAAATTGTGTCTGTGCAGATGGACGATAACATGTTTTCTAAAGTGCCGTTACTGTGGGAAAAAGGTATTCACACACACAGAAAAGAATCCCCGGAAATTTAAGGTGTTCGCCGTAAAATTTGACATTTATATATAAATTTCTATGTACATTTTACCGGCAACACTAGAATTTTCCGGGCGATGACATAATTTCAAATATTCCAACAGAAATTAGCGCCATCTGTCATTTCAAGCGGTAAAATATATATAGTATTTGATAAAATGTTCGAAAATATGTCATCGCCCGGAAAACTGAAGTGTTGCCGGTAAAATGTATATAGAAATTTATATATAAATGTCAAATTTTACGGCGAACACCCAAAATTTCCGGGGATTCTTTTCTTTGTGCAGCTGTGAACTTGTATTCTGATGTCGTCAAACTGACACAAGGACTTCCATTTCTTTCATTTATTTGTCATTTTTAGTCATTTTTTTCCTGAGTTATCCTTGGGTAACGACTACAATGGGAAATCGATCCCATTAATTACTGTCTACACTGAGAGTTCCAGAAACAACACGGAAACCACAAATAAAGATAGCACACTGAACGTACCTTCAAAACCAGTGAAACCCCCAAATGGTAACAACGATAACGGTTATTAGACAAACACATGTTGTCCGCAAAACAACCAACAAAACTATGGTGAACCTGATGAATCTTAAAACCACTGATCGACTATCATACCGAAAAACTTGGCTGATTACCGTACATTTGCGATTTTGGCCCGTTACGCGATGAAGCAGGACGTAAAATACGAAACAGTCGATTGGATATGTTCTTGAAGAAAGCTCATTTTGGTGCAAACAAGCTCCACCACCGTGGCTCATTTGAATAAAAAAGCAACACGAACAAAAAACTTGAAGTAAAACGCATTTAAATCATGTTTAGTTTTTGCTATATTTTTATTGTAGGATATTGAGCTAAACTATTACATTTTCTTGAATTGTATTTTACTCTTTAATTAGTGGCAAATTGAATCTCATTTCAAAACAGAATCTTCGCACAATTTTTAAAATACTTTAATTTGTTCTGCTTCAAAATTTCAAGAAACATGTAAAAAAAATTGATAGAAACATTCTTATAAATGCATTTAGCAAATTTCATAAAAAGACTGAGTGCTACCGTTTTGTTTTCTCATAACAACTTCTAATCATATTTTAGTTCGATGAATCAATCAATTGACCAATAATATTGTATTTGGTTGCCATTTTATTGGAACAAATATGTTGCTTACTGAAAAAGAAATGATTTGAGGCATTTTAACTGTGATTGATTGAATGTATTAAAATTTTTCAGATCACTTCAAATATTCCAAATGAAACGTCTTTTATGGTACACGCCATCTTTTTATGAATGTATAATTTGCACAATGTCTAAAAATTAAAAATTAAAAATTAAAACGATCGATTGACAAATTATGCAAAAAATGAAAAAAAAAAAAAAAATAAACTGAAAATTGACTGACTGAGTGCAAAATACTTATTTACATAATAGTTTTATTTTTTGTCGTGTAGTTTTTTGTTGTTGCTTTATATTGTTTTTTTAAACATTTTTTGTTTGTATTTTTTTTCTCATGTTGGGTATATTACAATTAAGGCAGCGAAGACTGGGATCACGTATAGCGACATGAAACACTCATTAATCAGGCTTATCTAAGTACCTTTTCTAACATTTAATAAATAAATTTCATTTCGGCATAATTTGTATATTTCATTCATATGTTCAATTTTCCATTTCATTTTTCTTTTAATTTCAATATTTTTAAATTTTTATTTAGTGTCATTAGCTATAATTTATTTGCTGTTTCCACACAAAATGAGGAAGACAATGAATCGTGAGAAGTAAATTAAATGTAGATGAGTGTTTGGGAGTTTACATCGCATTCGTTGACGAGATAGAAGAGTTTTAAAGCATGTTGTTGTTGTATGTGTGTGTATATGTTTGTATGTATGTATATTTTATTAAAAACTCGTTGCCAGGAGAAAAACCACTCTTGGAACAAATTGTCGGAACTTTTATTCCGATTCGGAACAATCTGTCCGACTTATCGGAATAACATTGCACTAGAAATGCCGATAAATCCAACCGAGTTCCGATAAATCGGACCATTTGGTCCGGTAATTTTTCTGAGAGTATTGATTCGAAGTTAAACCATTTTTGTAACGATAAAATCAAATGGAAGTGTTCATTTTTGCATAATGAGCGTTTGAGAGTGAGTGGAATCCCTATAGAGTGATTGAGAAGATTAAACGGGTTCTACAAAAAGATCATTCAAAAATTTAAAGGAAGAAATGATTCCACATAGTGGAATAACTATCCGATTTGAGGTCGTTATTTATCAATAGTTTTTTTTTTAATTTGTTTTCTACTCCAAAATTGAAATTTTTCGTCGTTTTACAATAGTCGTTGATTTTAATCATAATTCATTCGATAACTGTTTTGTTTAAATGGAACGGTTCAACAAGAAAATCAAGCAAAATAAGTTGAATTAAGATGATTTTTCGATAATAATATTCAAATTGAATTGCATTTTACAAAGAAATTACTTCATATGAAAATTATTTTGAAACGAGCACTCATTTTTTCGGTATAATTGAAAGAAAAAGAATCGGTATATGCCTTGAAGAGCGTGAATTGAGATGGATTTTATAAGTTTACTTTGTGTTGCCGACAGCTGACTATATCGAATGAAATACTATCTAAACTTGAAAGTTTTATCTTTAATTCAAAGAAGAAGACCTTCAATAATTTCTTATTGTGTGTAATCACCGATATATTGAATAGGAAATGGAATTTTATGAAGATTTTAGAAAAAATGTGAAATCATGAATACCCTCTCTGGTACTGCTGCCGCCGCTCTAAACATTGGTGAAAAACTAGACCGATAGCTCTAGCAGTAAACCGACTCTTACTTCGACAAATAAAACCACTAACGCATTACAAGGGAGTTTGCATAGTCAATGAGTATGTCCTTAATATGTAGTATTGTGTATTTTATATCCTCAAATGAAAACAATGGGTATTATCAATTAAACGAGCGCCAAATTCTATGTCATTTGGTTGCATCCGCATCGGATCTGTGGAAATCTCGCACGATTCTCCGAATAAATCGTAAATTGGCAAGAAATTTAAAAAAAGCCCGGCAATGACATACGATGGGTTACAGTGACAAGAAAACATCGCAAGTGTACGCACGTGTGTAGGGTTTCACATCATTCCCTAGAGTACTTTGAGACATCGTTTCATATAGTGTGAGTGGTGTTGGCAAGAGCTAGATCCAGGTGCCTGGTCTTCAAAATTGCAGTTACATTGCACTGAAAATCGTGACAAAGAAGAGAAAGTGAAAGAGCGACGAGTGATGCTCGAAACAGCAGAAGAGGGAGTGATTTGCTACCGTAAAACTGGCAATAATAAGCAGCAATCGTTGAGGAGGAGACACATTTTCTCATGTCCAATGGGCTTTCAATGTAGCAAGAGAGGGTATCTGGTACAAATGAGACATTGCATGGAAGCTCCTGGCTCATACAATGTACTCAAACTCGGAAATCGACGAATCGTCAACACAGAGATAGCCACCTGAAAATCATAACTAATTAACGGTATGATATACGGTATAACACCTACATCTATGGATATCTAGATTGACAAAATATCAGGGAGTATTATGAGCTGATGTCAGCAGCACTAACTAACGTCAGCTGCTGATATCAGCTGCTGACGAGTATGCGTTGCGTGTGTTAACGTATTTGCAGTATAAAAATGAAAGGGTGAGTAAACTTACCATTGGTATATTCAATCTCACCAATGGTAAGTTTACTCACCATCGTTCTTATACTGCAAATGCGTTAGAACAATGCAACTGACGTTAGTTAGTGCTGCTGACATCAGCTCACAACACGCTCTGGTAAATATTCATTTATTGCACTGCATAGCCGTTCGCATTCAACAATCGATTTTAAAGCAGTTTTCCTTCTTCGAGAACTCTGAATATCAATCATTATGCTATATGAATCTAATCAATTGAATACCTTCTTTTGCCTTGAAGATATGGAAAACACCCCAATTGTATGTTGCACCGCTGTATTGGAGTCTATTGTTTTGTGTAATCATAAATAGTTTTGTAGTTTTGACATTAAATTGGTGAGTGGCCTTTGATGCCGATTTATTGTAATGTGTTTTTCTATGACATTGATTTTGATAGTGGTCCATCCATTCAGCGGATGTCTTAAATCTAATGACAAAATCTTATTTTGTCAGTTTTGATAGCAGGAAATTCGATAAACACTCGCTCATCTATATCTACATGTATATATATTTCTGGAATCTCTTTCTTTCAATTATCAGCAACAATCGAAAAATGCACTGATAGCACGCAAGTAGAACAAATTAACTGAGAAATCAGAATAGAAGTTTTTCATTCAAATTTGTTGTGTGGATATGGGGGAACTGATTGATCGTCCTGTGAGCCAAAGCCTTTTACAACTTGCCCAATGTTTTTGAGTATGCGCGTCCAAGTTTTGAGGTGATAGAAAAAGCGAGATCCAGTTTAATTCAATCAATTGATTCAACTTTGTTTGTTCAAGACCAACTTTCACTTTCACTTTCACGGACATAGATAAAATTAAAAATTACAAAATGTGTAATTTCAAATTTATCATTCCCAGTCGAGGTGACGATCGGCCTTAAGAGTGCAAAAAGCTTTTACCGCCTCCAATATTTCAGCTTATATCATTCCATTAAACAACAGCCACAACCTCGTAGACTCTAAAATATGCTTAATTAATTAAATTGTAGAGTTTTGTTTTTCTTCTATCATCAATACAAAAACGGTTTCTTAATGTGCCCTGATTTACATTCGTAGCGCCGGAAGAACGAATAGCTCAGTTGACATAGGCATTGATTTCTTGAATGTCTGCTTGGTTTTTATTACTAGATCGTAATCACAGATTACCTCAATTGTCGTCTGTTTTCAAATTATTTCGACTTCGGCGAACAGGAAAAAACAACCATCTACGGCAACTTTCGATAGATTTTTGGTTTTGTAGCTTGACATTCCCAAAATTAGGAGCGAAAGATGCGTTCTATTCGCTTTAAAATCACGTGCGTTGACTCGAATCGATTATTATTTGTGTTAAATATGAAATAAGTCGTTTGAATGAAGAAAACGTCATTGTATAAACTGCGTTTTATTTCGGTATTTTCGTATGTTTCATGAAATTCAGTAAATTTGATCATAAAAGAGATGTTATGAACTGTAGGGGTCAGCGAGAAATTGCTTTCCAATTGTCAACCAGCTAATGATCGACTAACAAAAAATTGAATGATATATTCTAGTTTCAAACTTCAATTTTCCAATATAATACGGAACATTAACATAAAGTGATTAGTTGCTTTATTTACGAAGTGGTTTCTACCGGCAGACCAAATAAAATGACACTTTTTCGATAATTTGTCTTGATTTTATTGGGGATTTTTTTTCGAGTGGAAAATAAAACAAACGAAAGTCTTAATGCGCCTACAGTCAATAGAATGAGGGGATTTGAAATCGTTTCACAATAGAAAACTAGCAATAAGTGTGTATGCACTTAGGCGGCTACGGGTTCAATTCTATACGTTAGTCACATCTTTTGTTGTTTTTTTGTTGCTCTTTTTAGTTTTGTAGTTTTTTTTTCTTAAAAAAAGATTTTTGGTATGCATTTTTTTAATATTCCATTTTTTGTTATATAATTGTTTCAAAAGTTTTTTGTGAATTACCATACTTCGTAGAGTGGTCATACAATATTGTTTCTACTAAGCTTAAATGATATGTTTAATTTATGAACATTTTGAGTCGCATTCTTCAGTCGATAAAAATATTTTCTTGTTTTCTATATATAATTTTAGTTCTTTCAATAAATTTAATTTTTTACACATGATGTATAATAATGCTAGTATTTTTCCATTTTAAGAAAGACAATATCAAGGTGCCGAAAGCCGGAAGCGAGCATGGCTTCTAATACATCACAGGGTTGAAATGGCTATCGCTTGTTTTCCAATTTCAACAATCCGTTTGTTTTAAAAGAACGTACGCTTTCGCCGACCATCAAGTCTACCGTGTCGTGTAGTATTTATGTATGTGTGATTTCTATTCAATAATAGTTTGTGTGTGTATATAGCTTATGTGCAACGTTTTGACTTTTTATCCTCTCATCGGATATTACTTATATTTTCCCATTTAAAATAATTAAGTATAAAGATAACCGATATTTTTGCATTGTTTGTGCAGTGTCGGCTTATTTTTTTCTCTGGACGAACAATACATTTGCAGGGATTTCTTCGATGCTAGTATACTATCGTTTTGGAAAATACATCAGCCGCCAAAGTAGAAAAGCGTTGCGAATATATCATTCTAAACGATGGAAACATGGAAGCCACATTTCGGAAATTGCAAATTACATTAAATAACTGCTGATATATCGATTGAATCCAAACCAATGAAACAATTTAGTGTAAAGCAGGACAGTTTGATCAGGGATCGCTTTTTTCGTTAATAATAGCATAAAATTCAATCATTTTTCAATAAGATAGTTTAACTTTGAAAACGTCAACTTTCTACAAAATAATTTCATGTTAAATAAATACAATAATTTTTACAATCTCACTTGTATCGATTATTACAAAACAAACAAAAGAATACAATTTTCAATACTATGGGGAGTCACAGATACAATGGGATTTCAACATTTTGTTGCCCTTACACATCTTCTGATTCAGGGCAAATATATTATCGTTCAAAGGTGCATTGGAAATTATAACTTTTTTGTTGTTGTTGTCAATCAAAACTGATTTCTTTTGTTCCACCTATTTTGCACAAATTCCTGATGAACGGGTAAACACATTTTAATTTTCACTTATAATACTAACTTACCGGAAATGTATCGAATTGAAATAAAATAATAATGATGTGCACATTACTAAAATACTCCATGAATGAACAATTCGAAACAATCTCCGAACATTCATTCTCTTTTTTGTTCATTTTCCTTTAGTTTTCTTTCATCAATTTTATGTCGCTGAAAAATGTATTGCTAAAATTTAGCTATTTAATATTGAAGAAAGGATCCAACATTCTTCGGGAATAATAAAAAAGGTGTCAAACCGACAATTTGTCCGGTGTGGATTGTGTGCAGCGGATAAATACAGTGACAGCTAACGTAATGTCGATTTATGAAACAATTCCAGTATGTTTGTTTCGGTCGTTGTGAATATAAATGCACGCTATCATTGGATTGGGATTAGAGTTTCTGTGTTTCTGTTGTCGTTTGTGGGCTGAGAATTGTATTCACTTTTATGTACGTGAGAGAAATGGGTATACATCTTTCTGTTCTTATTCTTTCTTTTTCTTTCGGATCGAATTTGAATTTAGACTAATATTAGTTTTTATCAGTATTTTTGTATGTTTGTTGTTCGTTTGTATCAAGCAAATGATAAGTGTTTTATGAATGGGAAATTTGCACTTAGGTGATCTACAGCATTGGTCTACATTACTTCCATTTGGACTTGTCCTAATCTAAAGTTGATTTTGTTTTCTAAATATTACTTAGTGTTATGCTTTTGGACCAATAAAATGCATTCAAATGGAAAACAACTGCATGAAGGTGATGAAGAGTAGCGTCAATTTCATTTCTTGGTGAGTATGATTGAATGAATTGTGAAAGGATTTGTGTTTGTTTTCAGTATTTTATGTGTTCCTTTTCTCACGCTATTTGTAATGTTGATTTTCAATATGAAGCGATTTAGTGTTTCTTCTAATCAATGGTTTTGGAAAAATCGTCGTTAATTAGACGCAAAACAATTGCCAGTAAGTGAAAGGTTTATATTGGTTGTTGATCTAGTAGGTAAATCAATACTGCTTGTCTTTTTGTGTATGCGATTGATTTCTAATTTTGAGTATTGAAACGTTTTCTCGCAACAATTTCTCTCACTCTTTTTCGTTTTCTGTCATCGCAACGGTTTTCTTTAGAGACTCACTAGCGCCGATGACCAACATAATATGGCTCTTATATTTTTGATACTATGGAAAATCAAGAAAATTATAGCTATAGTCGAAATTACGTAGCTATTACTGGTTATGGTGCGACCATCACTAGTACATTGACTACTATTTACTGCCGCTGGAAGGGCTGAAAATGAAACGATGAATCATAATTTCAATGTGATTGGGGCCAAATTCAAATGACATTTCATTCGAAAATTTTGAATCGATTGTGAATTGATTTTGGTTACTCACCTGTTGATGTCAAAAGTTGTGGTAAATAGTCTTTCCAGAAAGCACACTGCCGCAGTCGCGGTCCTCGGCCGATGTGAGTCCGATTCATGTTGAGCTCAAAGTATTCTCTACCGTTCGCCGTGTGTTTGGGCCATTCATTTTCAGTTGATTGACCGTTCGGATTACTGCATGAATAAGAAAAAGCGCCATTACGAATTTATGATTGATGAGAATAAAAAATGTCGTGCATTGACAAAATAAACACCTACCCAAATCTGGCGAAATTCGACCAATATCGCATAATTCGCTTGCTAAATTGCCTCTCTTCCGGCATGTAATCAAGCGAAGGATTTAATGCCTCACCGAAGACATAATTAATTTCATCGGCATGCATTACACCTGTCCATTTAGGCCATGGATTGCTTTTACTTCGGTGATTGTACAGATACATGTAAACGCTTAAATTCTCCTTGGCGTATCTGAAACGCGGCACAAACCGACGCAGTCAGAAAGTAAAATCGAATTAAGATTAACTTTTTCCTTAAAACAGGAATGGATCAACGACAGAACCAGTAGGAAAACATACCTGTGAGCGAATTCGTTGACGTTGCACGTGAAGTGTTTGTCACCGACCATTTTATCTAATGCATCTCTGTTACTGTCGACGTTATTCGGATCTGTCCAATTAGTATATTCGAAAATAATCGCTTGACGTCCTGCATTATTTACATATGGATTCAATTCTTTCACAGCCTGCAAATATTCTTTACGTGAAACCGTAATGCCCTCCTCTTTTTTGAACAGTTCCGTCAAGTAATAGATAATGAAGTAGTTTCCTTCATCGGTGTTACTTCCCATTAGTATTTCAGATTTCTTGAATCGACCGTGAGCAAGACTCTTTTGCGGTGTCTCATCCAAAAATGCTCCATCGACAATTGGAGCAAATGGAAATTCACAAATACCTAAACCCACACACATGAAATTAGTGATCACCTTCAAACTTTAAATCAAAATAGATATTTTCATACCTAAAGAGCCCCATTCATTGTATACCAATGTTTTTGGATCTTTTTCTCGTAAGCATTTCGCCACGTCAGCCAAATTCTTTTCATCGTGTGGACAGTTTACAGCTTCAGCAAGCCGTAGTGCTCTGGAATTTATGTTCGTAACATTTTTGTCTGAAATCCGTTGGTTTTATTATTTTGTTCAGCAAAATTACCTTAAAATTGCTTCTTCTCGCTTAACGATGGCCCATGGAGCAGTCGCAGCTCCACTTTGCATGATGGCACGTTGAAAGAGGTCTCTCGATAGAGCCGATAGCAAATGCAATGAAACAGAAACAGCTCCAGCGCTTTCACCGAATAAAGTGATGCGATTTGGATCTGGCCGACCAATCAAAATTTCCGGAATTATTTTCACAATTCAAAAAAATGCAACGATTTGTGTCCGATTAAATTACCTCCACCAAAATGTCGGATATTATCTCGAACCCAGCGCAATGCCATATTTTGATCGAATAATCCAGCGTTTCCAGGTGCATCAGGTGTGCCAAGATATAGGAATCCTAAGCTCGCTACACGATACTGAATCGAAACAACGATTATATTCTCTTCTGTGGATAGAGCTTTATAGTCGTAAACATCCAATGTGCTGGTGCCTTGGAAGAAACCACCACCATAAATCCACAACATAACTGGGGAGTTTTTCGGTCGTGGGTGTGGCACAAACACGTTTACATATAGACAATCTTCGGATAATTGAGTGTTCGGGTTCCACATATCTGCACCGGGAAAATCGCCAAATACCGTATCAATGATTTGAACACATGAATTAGGCCGCTCGGTTGTATTCAAAGTGCCACTCCATTTGTCGATCGGACGAGGATGACGATATCGTAGTGGTCCAATGGGCGGTTGTGCATATGGAATGCCGAGGAACACATCAACCTTTTTGCCAGTCGCTGCTGTTATAGTTTTACCGCGAATCTTCCCCTTGTCAATCGCGATTACCAACGGATCATTTTCATCAGGGTCTGAAAGGTTCGTCAAATCGAGAGACAATTTAATGAAAACGTCATTTTTTTGCACCAAAAGCAGCTCTTCTCGTCGTATCAAATATCATCAAATCGTTAGATTCTGTATACTAACCGTTATTCGATTCTCGTCGGCTAATACTCTTACGTTTCGACGAAGTAGCTGATTGAACATCTTTCAAGTGTTGACGTTCTAAAGTACCTAGTTCAGGATCAACTACTCTAACTGCTTCACCATGGCCCAAATATGGAGTGAAAAAGGCATCTTAATTTTTATAATACGTACATTTTTGTGTTTTTTTTTTCAATACATCCCACAAACACATGGAACATAACCAAAAGGGAAAACGATAAATAGACAACGTCAAGATCAAAAAGGAAGTGAAGAAATCGGGAGCGTATCAAAATGAAAATGCAATGTGTCTGCGTTGGCTAATGGCGGTCATACAACGCCACATTTGCTCACTTCAGACACGTTGTATTCTATCGCATATATGTTTATCGATATGGAAGACTAATATTAATATCAAAAAGCTTTTTCGGTTCGATATTATTTTCATGCAATGTAACTCACCATCGTCGGCAGATTTTTCCGCTGAAGCTAACTGTGAGTCATATTTCAATGCAGTTTCGTACGGTACATTTTCAACGTCTCGGTGTCGACCATGCACTAATTGAAAAACGCCACAGATACCAACAAGAAAAAAGAATACATTTCTTACATTCGCTGACCTCACAATGCCAAAGGATCCGCAAAGTATCTCCATCATGTTGGAGATACGATATTCAAAGTTGATAACAATTCGCTTGACTGTTTTTAATTATCACCCTGTAATTAATATACGAGACGATGGCGGTGGTGGCAGCGGCGACGTCGACAACAGTAAATCCTCACAAAGACTCTTTTCTGAAAAATAAACAGAGTGAACTGGTTAAAAATGGAAAATGGGAATCGTGTTCATCGAGAATAGTTGAATGAAATGGAATGAAAGGAATTATTTTCATGAATTACAAGAGTAATTGAAACAGCAAGGGCAACAGTAAACGGCAGTGGCACTGGCGTCTGGGTATTGCTGCGGCTCCGAGAGAAATAACTTGCATCCGTAGTTGAGTTAAATGCATTTAATGCAATAGAAGCCATTGAATTAGAATTTGAAACGAACAACTGAAGGAGGGGGGAAGGCAACATGGAGGAAAAAATGTTCGCATTTTCGAATTGCATGTCTAAGAGTGGTGACTCACGACTAGAAATGAATTGAATTGAATTCAACGCGCAACATTGCCTAAATTTTTCAAATGCAAAATTAAAATCTATTTCAATGCAATGTTACGGCATAAGTGTAGTTATATAGTGAAATACGCGCTATGGCGCAATCTGTGGGAACTATAAAAGTGTACCAATGGAAAATTTAATAAAAAAATTTGTACTTTTTTCTACTTTTCCTTCTTCACGTTTTAATTTCATGAAACACGTTGATTGCTATTTACTCCATCCGTAGATTAATTCCAAACTTGATGGGTACCGGGGGAACGGTATGCATGAGAGAGCTGAAAAAAAAACACCAACTCGTCGAATAAACAAAAAGTTGAAGCACGCTGAAAGCAGTTATTAAACCAAAGTAAAAAGGATATGAATAGGAATGAACAATAAAACTATGCTCGGATATTTTCGTTGTTTCATGACTCGAGGTCAAATGGCTTTCATGCTGGAAATTCAGTCAATACTCTGCATGCAAAATAAAGAGTGAAATAAAAGAGAAAATATGAGGAACACGCTTTTCAATTATGAAAAATCGGTTACATTCCAAGTGAAACAATATGAACCAATGAATCTCCTGGAGAGAGTGCGCAAGTGATTGTCAATATATTCATAGCAGTTCTCTCAACAAAACAATTCTATTTCAGCAATATCACAATTTAAATTGCACACATGTTGTTGTTATTGTTTTTTTCTTCTATCTCGAATTCAGTCAGAAAGAAATCATAAAATGAATCGACTGAGATTGCCCACAGCATACATACAAGCATTATTCTCAATCACAAACATGGTTTTTGTTTCGAAAAATTTAGAACACGATAGCAAAACATTTCAATTGCTGTTCATTTCTTTTCGAATCGGAATTAATGACTTCGTAATGCTGACTATATCGTTTTGTTTGGCGTTCAAGGGTTAGGTTTGCACGTTTATTCGATTTCACACCATTCTTCATTGGACTTGATTGATTTTTTCTCTGTACGTTCGGTTGGTAGCGAGTCAAATGGTACGAGCAACAACGGACTAACACAGCATGTTGGTCGGTGTTATACACGGTCGGATCAAATTCCACAAAAAAAAACCTTTGTCAATTTATCGATATTTTATATATTGAATGGTGCCAATATTTCATTCAATGTTTTTTTGCTGAGGATATTACGGTTCGTATGACATATTCTGATATCCTGGGCAAAATTGAGTACTCAATTTAATGTGACTGGGAAATAAAACAACAAAATCGAGTTTTATCGCTTTTTAGTGGCGATTTGATGTTAGATTTGACCGCATAAACCTCCCTTTTTTCGCAGCGATCGTAAAACCTCGTTTTTTCCTACGTTACTATCGTGCAATTTTATTGCAGCACATATTCAACATACCGCATCCCTTCCCGACAACATACCGCATCTCACAGCCTCTATATCTCTTTGCGAAGTTTGACGGGCTACAAAATGGAAACCAACCACTTTCCTTTGAGAGTCGAAAAATTTAAATCGATCAGTAAAGTAGAATTGGTTTTTGATTGTTGCAGAAACAAAACCCAAGAGAAATATTCGCTGAAATCGACCATTTTCCATGCTTTTTGTTTCAGTTTCATCAATATAATAATATTATATTATATTATAATATAATACCAAAATATGAATTTGACAAACTTACGTTTGTTCGCATACCACGCATAAAGTTCGCAATGATACAGGATAACTATCGCGTACTATAATTAATTTATGGATAGATCTTTAGTGCTAGGAATAAGCGACATCTTGTTCTAGAAAAAAAATTCCAGTGAAATCAAAACAGATACAAACTCAATTGTCAAAGAACATCAATATCCATGAAGTGACGGGTGTGAAATCTGTATTCAATGCATTGTATGTTCGCTTTTCAATTGTCGGATGGAATTATTCTCGACGTTATTTTTCTTATTTCATCATTCGTAATTGTCGCATCTATCAAATGGTAAAAGTCTTTTCATCGCAAAGATTCAGAACAAAATTTAACTTGATCCTGTTTGGAGTGGAATAGGCGCTCAATTCCGCTTTTGTTATTGGTGTTTTGGCTGATTGTCTGATTTATTGTTCAGATTGAGCTTCGACATTGCTCCTATTAAAATAGATTATTGTCAAGGGAATATGCTGTGTGAAAATTTTAATTGCTTCCATAGTAGTAAGGAATGTTCAGCGAAAGTAATACACGATCGTTTGATGTAGCACGCAATAGAATTAATATAAAGAGTGGATAAATTGAGACCATGGCTACCGCATTTTGTATTATGTTCATTGATGTGTTCATGTTATGGTTGACCGGTCATTATATTTATCCACAAAACAAAAACGAAACCAAATGTTCGCAGTGGTGTTGTGGGGACAAACTAAGCAACGTCATATGAAAGGGGGCATATCGCAGTTATGCGTAAAATTAATGGCAGTGCATATATGTATACACATTTTTGTAAGTGGATACTTTGAAGCTTTCGTGAATTGAATTCCGCAACCGTCATTTGAAGCATGTTTGTGCCCTGTTCACTTCAACCAAATTCGTATTTTATCAAAATGCGGATAGAAGAACGTGGAGTGCGCTCCGTGTACGCTCATGCGTCTTTTGCAGAAATAAAATAGAAAAACCAAACATGAAACACATAGCGGATTCAACGAGAGATCGGTACGACTGATATGATTATGTAAAATTTATTCCGTAAAACATTCCCAAGGATAATAATAAGGGATTTAATTCAATGCTCAAGAGATAGTGGATAGACATTCGAGGAGTTTTTCGCGGCTCACAAGTGCAACGGCTTTTAATTGTTTGTTATTTGGATCTTCGACATTTCATTCTGGCTCTTTCTACTCCTGTCAATGTGCTGGCACTGAGCTGGTGTAGTAATATATTTCCACATTTTTGTCTGTTTACCCACTTGAATCCAAGCAAAGCGTTCGACATTTTCATGCATAAAGGCGGAACATAAAAAGGAAGTCACCCTCCATTCTGTACTTTGTGTTGTTATTCTACTACTTCTCCTTCTTCTTATTCAAATGAAAATGTAAAAACTAGTTACGACAAAACACTATTACCAGAGTACATATCGCTTGAAACGTTTTATTGTTGCGACATAATCTACCTTAATTGTACTTGAGGCACGCAAAACATAAATACAATTTCATTTTTAGCGAACCATTTCACTTAGCCTCTGTTTCGTTAGTTGTTTTTTTTTCAGTTTCGCTACTTCAATGCCATTCCTTTTGTTTCTCGCGTACTCAAACCCAAGCGTATTGAGAGGTTTGTGAAGCTTTGTTGATATTCAATTATTTCTTGGCCTCTCTCTCGCTATTGTTCTCAAGTGATACGTACTAGTTCTTTTTCTCTGCCTCCACCGTCTATAGTTTTACATTTTCGATATGTTATTGATATGTTAATAACCAAAATATCGGACAATTTCTAATAACTCAAACATAAGATATTATTAGATTAATAAGATTCTACGATATTATCAACATATTATCTTATTATTAATAAGATCGCCATTTTATTAAAAAGTTAATAAGATCCATCTTCATGATCTCGTCAGACGGCGAAATCTTGAAGAAAAATGCATCTGACAATATTTGATATGTTTTTAGTATGAAACTTTGAAAAAATTTGTGAAGAAAAAATCAACATTTGAACCGAACAAAATTGGTTAATAAAATCCGATTTTCTTATTAATATTTTAATAAGATTATCTTATTAATAATAAGATGGATCTTATTCACTTTTAAATAATATCGTAGAATCTTATTAATCTAATAATATGTTATGTTTGAGTTATTAACGCCCCCCCCCACCCGTTAATAATATTTTTATAATTAATAACGTTAGTATGATAATGCCTGTAAATCTATACCTCCGTCACTTGAATTGCTTCATTTACACTCTCGAACTTGTTTTATGTAGCACTCGGATACTTCCAACTGTTTTAGTTATGAATAATTGATATAGCACACATTTCCGCATCGACAGTGTAGCATCATCAATGTCGGTAATTGTTTCTGGGTTAAAACGCACGCAAATATGTTATTCAATATGATGTCAAAATCATCCCTCAATTTTTTTTACAAATGCTCTTCATTGAGTATCAAGTTTACAGTGTTATTTGCGTTTGTTGTTTTGAAACACTAGCGCTGCGGCAGCAACCCAGGCAGCAACAATACGATTTGATTTTCACCAAAAGGCGGACTAACGAAAGAATAACAACAACTCTGATTCTAAACGTCAGTTCCGAATGGAATGGTCACCATGGATTTTTCCACTAAAATCTTTTTCGCCAAAGAATGGAAACATTCCAACCCTTTCCCTTTTTTGCAATTGTTCAAGCTTCTGAAACGAATAGACTGATTGCTTTCCTCTGAGTTGGAAATCGTTTTTGCTCAATTTTGTTTCTCTCCATCTCTTTTTTCCTGCTGAAAGAGATTTGACTCGATTCACGGATGGCTGACCGGATTGAAAATCAATTCTGACGGGACGTTTCCAAAAAAAAATATATGATATGAATTTTGGGCATGGGCATATGCAGCGGTACTATTTTATATGGTGTAAATTGAGTAGAAAAGGAAAACATTCGTTATTTGTTGAATGGAATTATCCATTATGTAACCTTTTGAAGGCTCTGGTCATACACTTTCATGTGTCTTACACACTTTGCAAACCCATCTATCCATGGCAATAGAAAATATTCTGCTCGCATTGTGTATTGTGTGTGTTCGATACATTCGTTGTAGCTGTTGCCTATATTACAGTCATTGTCTATATCGCGTTCGTTTATCGGTCGCACACAATCACCATAGTCTTTTGTATATATAAAGTTTATGCGTTCACAGGACTTTTTCTATTCATTATATCGCGTATTTTTTCCGTTGTTGCGAATTAGAAATACAAATATTGTTTACTCATTCGTGTTGTGTCTATTCATTCTGCTTCATCTGCACTTGGCGTGTGCTTTCGTATGGCAGCTTATTCAACAGACAACAATGGCTTTGCGTGTATTGAAATAGTCTTTTCCGTTTTTACTTTTCTCTCTATTTCGCATAAAAAATAACATTGAAAAGCTCTTGACCAGTTTGGCAAACTTTTCCACCATTCCATTCCGTAAAACTTATGTTGTGGCAAAACGATGCGAAATTAAAAAACAGCAGGTGAAATAAATACATATTAATTCCAGGTTCGGAGTCGCTTTTATCATTTGCAATTGCTAAGAAGCGTCTAAGGAACGGAAAAAGCAAAGTCGTTAGCTGATATAGAGAACGCAATTGCAATATATAATATGTTTAGTGGATAGATTCAGCTTCGATTTTATCGATTTTGGTCGCCCGATTTCAAGACTTGTTTCCTATTTGCGCTGATCGTCATATTAAGATTGTACTCTAATCATAATATATACACATATGCTGTGTATAGATATACTCACTCGTTCGACGAACTAAAACCACCGAATATGTGCCTGAACGCTTTCAATTGTGTCGGTATTGAAACTTCCGAAACTTTTTATTGCCCCGAAAATGTCCATATAAATAAATGATTGCTGCAAACTGTTAATCGTTTCGTGTGCAGCTCGACACATCAATGAACAAACGGACATGTGGAACGATATGCTCAGTATACCGCCAATTTCTATTTACATGTACGCAATTGACAGTTTATAATGCGTGTTATAAAACGAATGTCATGTCATGTCACTTCAGAACAAATGATGCGAAACAAACTTTAATAGCAACGAGCAGGCCACCAACAAGAAGGCAACGACAGCAGTAGCAGCTCAAAAAACCAACCAATGAACGTTTGCACAATAAATGTTGTACGAACGCGACCACTCCGAGCTCATTCGAGACTAGGCCAACGAATATGACTCTATTAAATTTTAATTGAATAATTATGCCACTGTTTAATGTGTTTTGACGTTAAAATATTGATCATTGAAAATGCTCGTTCAGCGCAGCGATAATTTCTACACGTTTTTCGGCTTTCCATGTCATTGCCCATCGGCGCTGGATGCCTTTTAAAACCGTTTGCTTGAGCTTTTCTCATTTCTTTATTATTAAAGTCATATTTCCAATAAATTTCGTTTTCGTTTTATCTCATTTCATTTCAAAATATTCGATAAATGTTTCCCGTGCAAACTGAAATGAATCATTAATTAAACGAGCCGTCGAAACAGGTCAATGTATTTTTCAAACTGCAAACAGCAATTAACATCATTTTGTTACTGCCTTATTGTGTGTATTTTTGTGCTTTTTTCAGTCCAATGACGTTCAACACAAGAACATGATGATGCATGGGAAGAAAAAGAAAGCGGGTAAAATCCAATCGGTGTATACTAAAAACAAAAATAGGTTAATTAAGAAATTTTTCCGTTAAATTTGTTCTACGTTCTTCGATTGGCATTTAATGATATTTGTGTGAGATTATCGAATTGTTTATCCTTTTTTATCCGCATCGAAATTCATGTATTCCAATCAATCTATGTACGGTATGAATACGCTTTGAATTTTAATTATTAATTGTTGAAATCGTTGGAAGGATTTGGTTCGAATGTGTTTGTGTATTCAACACCATACTAAATATACCATTTTGAGAAAAAATAAATTCCGATTCATACATATTGAATGAGTCATCGTATTGTGTGTGTTACTTCAAAAAAGTTGACGTGATTTAGAATCCCTGTGGTTGAATATGATAATCTAGGAATGGAAAGCAAATCCATGTGCTTTTTGTGCACACACAACACAGGGACTCAAAGACTTACGAAAGAAACCAATACCAAACATGTGCTAAAATAATATCGATTTTGGTAAGGGGAAATTATGTCAGTCGTAAAAGAAAATTGCTGTAAAGGCCTTGATGGTGGAGAATGACTAGGTTTTTGGCGACAGAATAGAAGAATAAAAAAAAACGAAACAGAAAAAGCAAACGAAATACAATGATTGAAGCGCCGATAAGATATAACGCACCAAAAAGGAACATTTCGAAGCTATAAATTAAAGGGTTTATCCACTATTAGTGTGTCTAATTTTAAGTGGTGTGCTTCACACCGATTATCAAACTGCAACAACTATTTTTGTTTTTCAATTAAATGTTCTAAAAGCCATTATTCATATTTTTCATTTGATTGCCACCACCACCACCACCACCACCATCATCAGCACCGTCATCGTTGTTGCGAGCTCCGAAGCCAATTTAAAGCGTGACACATTTTTATGTCAAACATCCGAACAAAATAATGCTAAATTTGAATATATTTTAATTTACATATTTCGTAGCATCACAGCGGCGATGGCAACGCGGAGAGTGAGAGAGTAAAAAGAATGTTTGGCGCGTGTGAGAAGCGTATTTGCTGATGCCCGTGTGCCATTTTTTATACGTTTTGCAGCACGCTTTTTTATTACTCACAATAAAAACTGGAATTAATGTCTCGACATCACCGAGGATATGGAGTGAAGCATTTGCGGCATTTACGTGAAATTTAAACGGGTATTGCAAACAGTAATGCTCCAAGTGCTTTGGATCTTTCCAGCTTTATTTTTCGTTGAACAGTCATGGATATTTGAAGGAGAGTAAAGAGGAGCGAAAGAGAGATCAAGAGTGCCAAGCGGCGACTAGAATCTCTGACACTGTATTCCGAAAATTAAAAGGTTCACAGATATATGGAAACGAGAAATAAACTGTTTTGCTCATCGAAACTTTACAGCAACGGCCGAGTTACGTTTTACTTGATTCAGTTATGTGTTGTTCCTCTTCTTTTTACTTCAATTTTGTTTTTTTCGGTCGCTCTGCCATGTACACATATATGCTTAAAAGCTCTGCATTGCATCATATTATGTCAAATAGCGAATATCGCATACAGAACTTCCAACGATACATAATTCTCTTTATTATTTATGAAAATTGTTGGTGAATTCTTTTTTCCTTTTCTTTTCTATTACACTTTTTAATGCAAATGCTGCTTCTTTCGCACTACGAATTTGAATAGTTCGAAAATAAAATTAAGTATAAATTTTTTTTGTTGTGATGTTAAATGCTTTGAATTCCTATTAAATTTGAATAATTTTTAGGTGTCTTCGGTTAGGTTGCGTGAGAAGAAGACACAATTTGCATGAGTGTGAATATGCGGAAAATTGAATCGGTGCTCGTGTGGCTTCAAAAAATTATACTATACTATGTGGATGAAATAAATTTCACCTTTTTCACTTCCATCGCATTCGAATGGAATTGTATGATTCGTAAACTTTCAAAAACCAAAAAGGAAAATGCAATTGGCAGAAAAATCAAAAGGAAGATTTAAACAATCGAAATTTGCGGTTAGCGCAATTTCGCCTTGTAAACTGAAACAATAGTACCGATTTGAGAATATGAATAAAAAAACCAAACGGACGAATGAAGAAAAAAAATGTACGCAAACAAACCGTATATGTGAAGGAAATCATCGAATGTGTGCAGAAATTGTGTGAGAGTTGGTGTGTGCGTGCTGAGTGTATCTGTGTTAGATTGTCTCTCTATCATCCCCTTCACATTGCGGCAGTTTGACTTCGCTTATCCAATGGCATATATTTCTATCTGTGTGCTCTCTGCTTGGTGCTGTGTTCTGCTATGCTGTGCTATGCTATTCCGTATATATATACGATATAAGGATTTTCGCCTTCTTTTCAGCTTTTCTTCTCTTTGGCTGCTGCCTTTATTTTTCTTGAGGTTTCTACATAAGCATACATAATGCATACATTTATATGACGTTGTGTGACGAACCAACGGCAAGAAAAGCACAAGCACATGAAAACGACGAAAAAAAAGAAAAAAAATTCTGTATATCTATATGTTTGATACACATTTAATGTTATTTGGTTATATTGCGCGTACATTTGTATATGCCATATGGCATATCTCTCTTTCTCTCCCTTGATTTTTATTCTCTGATAGCAAAAATACACTGAGCATTTCGTTTGAAATACAGATATCCGCCATTTTGTACAAACAAAAAAAAACAAACTGGATTCACTTTAAAAAATTTGTTGTCAGTCGGTCGAGTGCCAAAATTATGCATTTGCTTGTATTCAGTGTCCCATATTATGGGAGATTTTTTTACTAGATTCAATGGTTTCTGCTGACTTTGATTCTCTAGCTCTCTTTCGTTTCTCACACACACGCATCCTAATGCTGAAAATATTGCTGAGCTCTTGCGAAACGAGCGAGTGATTAAAAGCACACTTAGATTTTTACACAAAACTCGTTTTACAGCTTCTTCATTAAAAGCAAAAAAAAAAAAAAAATCGTCGATGTGAATATAGCATGTGTGTATACACTGTGTTTATTACCTCTTATTTTCTATTCGAAATTCTTCTGTACCAAAATAATGCTATTGTTGAGTCTGTCAATTTTTCACTTACCCAATGGAGAGAAGAATGGTAAAATGCTGAACTTTTGTTTGCTTCAAGCTTTTCAAATCGTACACACTCAAGTTCCAGATTTTCCGTTTAAATGTTTTTCAATGGGGGATTATCTCTCTTTTTTTCTTTTTTCCCCTTTGTTTAAAAATTCGGTTTTCTTATACTTCATACGATGTAAAGAACAAATTTTTCGTTTGTTCTAACTTTTTGTTGATGGTTGAACAAATTTTTCTCATTTTCAAAAATCAAATGGAAGCAATTTACATTGGATTGACTGAAACTTCACAAGTTAAAAAATGAACAGGACGTAAATCTCTTTTTACTCGATATTTTCTATTCAAATGGTGTATAGTCTTTTGTTGGATTTTGGTAGTATTTTCTATTTTAACTTTTCGTTCACGAAAAAATAACAACGGGAATTGCTTAGTTTCTTTTGGGTAGCAAAGAAAAAACAGAAATTATTATTATTCAAGTGATGAGCTTTTGGTCGTTTTTTCTTCGTAGTTTTCGCCCATGAGATGTGGAAACCAATTTAGAATGAAAATTTACTTGTTAAAATATCGTATCGCAACCGTTCGAGCACCACTCACGATTGAAAAACTTTCTCAACTGAAATACAAGATATATAATTTATTCAGTCGCATACAGAAATTAACTGCTTTATTGTTTGCACACTGATTCGTGCTGCTGCTGCTCTCTTTCTCTCTGTGTATCGCACTATAGATGTATTGGTGAAATCCTGTGTTGGGGAAAATGAGCTGTGGCGCATGAGAAGTGGCCGAATGCCGCTGGAGTGTAGACAATTGATGACGTCAGTAATAAACGGTACACGATACGACTTACGTTCCCCAATGCACGCGCGAAACATTTTCCTTCTGAGCCATTGAAGGAAACTGTGTGGAAAACCGTGTGGAAAATATTTTTATAGTGTATAGTCACCAGCTCGAATACCTGAGCAAGCAAACGGAGCACTATGGAGGGAATGAGCATAGCGTCGAAACTGACACAAATCAAGTACATGGGCTCGGACACGTATAGTTCGTTTGGTGAAATATTCCTTGTCATTCGTTTTCTATTGGCATTCGTTAGGCAGGCAGGCAGCAAGCCAGCCAGCCAGCCAGCAAGTGAAAGAATGATGGAACGTTGAAAGGAAGTGCGCGTGTAGCACGTTTATTCTTGTTAATTTTTCAATCCCATAAACTCTATATCTTGGATCTATCACAGCCTTTGAACTTTACCACACAAAACTATTCCATATCTGTCGACGAACAAAATGGAAACGAAGCAACAACAACAACAAAAAATTGGTAATGAGAATTGGTGTGGCGCATTGAAATAAGAAGTCAATTCAATGTGAAAGGCCTGCGGGGAATTGATGGAATCAAATACACACGCAGATGGTTCCAGAATAGTCGTGAATGTATTTTCCAAAAATTGTTTTTTTTTTCAATGGTTTCACCGACATTGCTAAGCCATTTCACATGAATCGCTAGACTATGCTAGTGAATTGCCCCTATAACAAACGATACAAGTACCATAATTGGATCTGTAATTAATTTTCTTTTCCTTAGCAATTAGGAAAATAACTGAAAATCGATGTGTATTAATTCGATTGGTGGGAAAAAATGTCAAAGTTTGTAGTGAAAGAAATGGCATCGGTTTTGGACACAAAACTCAATAACAAACTATGTGTCACATCATGCATTGACAGATTTCGACTAAATGCTTAATGAGATAAATCGATCGGTCTATTTCGTAACGTTTGGCAAAGTTTTTTTTTGTTTCTTTTTTCCTTCTACTTTTGATACTGAACGATATTCGACATATTCGAATTTCATATGCAAATTGAAGAGGCAGAAAATTCACTCAAAACGTTTTGTAACGTAGCAATTGAAATGAACCGAAAATGTCTGTGCTCGGGTACGAGAGTAAGAACAAATATCTTCTGCGAGGCTAAATTAAATCAATCGCTTCATTTGCTATGTGTATAGGTTTGAAAAGAGATGACAAAGCCGCATCAAACTGTAGGCAACAAAGTTCAAATAATCAAATAGCATTAAGTCTTTTCGCATACCTGTCTTGCTGTGTATTGCACACACATGGGAAGTGCGGGGTCAGTCAATTCGAACGGTGCTCGTGCAGAGAGTAGGCATCGTCAATTGAGACTGAATCATCGTCGTTTGTTCGCTCTTTGCTCACACATGTGCGACGCACATCACCTGGCTGCTGTTTGCCTCGCATTTTGCATTTAAATTGATTGGATGTGTCAGGTTTCTACATGTATAAAATGCGTTTTGTTGTGTGTGCAAAGCAAACGAAACATCGACACACAATCACATCCCCATATATACCTATTGTTAGTATTGTCAGTATGCGCTATTGCTGCTGCGTAGAATGACTGTGTGTCATTGTCTGTGTGCGTGGCTGTTGTGTATGTGTGCTTGTTTTGTCTGTCGGTGTCGCTTCGCTTCGCTTCATCCCATGAGTACGAATACTTTGCTGTGGCTGTTGTTGTTGCCTTTGTCGTTTGTTTGCTTATGTGCTGCTATTCGCTGAAACGACTTCAAAGTGTTCAGTTCTGCTTGACTTGAAAATGAGTAAGCACAACACCAACGGTTAGTTGATTCCAAGCTATCAGAGCGTGCACACACATACCCGGTGTGCAGTTGGCATTTTATATCTATTCAGTCAAGTTGCGATCTCTCCGTTGCGTTCAACGTTCGAGTGTATTGCGAATAAAAGCCAAACATTTTGCCATCATCAAAGTGTATCCGATTGAGCGTTCATTGGTATACAAATTTCATTGAGATTTTTCGCAGAAATCTGATAATAAGAGGTACAAGCAATAGTGAAGTGATGTGAAAAAAATATGAATTAACGGAAATTCAGTGGCAAATATGGATATGCCAAATACACAACAGACCAAGTTGAACAAACATACACATTGCCATGGATAATTAATAAAATTGCCGTGCAAAAATCAAACATCATTCATAATCGATCGTACAACAGGCGAATAATAAGAGTGAACAGTTATTAAAATAATATTATTGTTTTAGTGAATGAAAATTTCCTTGGCACTTCCTTTGCAACTACTGGACAAGGGAAATTCAAAAAAAAAATCATCTAAAAAGAAGTCGAATAAATTATAAACAAACAAAACGTACCGCGTCTTGACTCACTTGATACTCATAAATGAATCGCCGAACACCGAGAGTGTGTATATACTGATCTATCTGACGCAAGTGGCACGCCAACCAGCGGCTCTCTCAACACACATATATATATTGCGTATGCAAAATTCTAAGAAATTATCATTTCACTTTAATTTGAGTTGAGCTGTTTCTATTCATTCACTCGTCTGATATTTCGTGATTATTTCGCTTCGTTTCAACTGTATAGCCTTTGCCACTTCTTGAGTATAGTGATAATAATACAAGACAGACAAAAACACACACTGTATGTTGTGTGAGCAAAACCGAGCGCAGCCTACAAAGGTATTGACGATTCAAAAAATTAGCGATCTATTCAAATATTTTGAACCGTTTCATTTTTCTTTTTTGTTGTTTTCAAACAAAAATAAATAAAGATGAACAAAATATGAAGTCCGCTCCAATTTTCCGGCTCAAATTCAACTTTAATTTAATTACACAGAATTGACAAAGTTATAAATAAATTTTGTTGGCCGATGATTGAATTACTTGTCGTGCGTGTGTGATATTATATGTAAACAATAGAATCAAAGTTCTAGCTAATATTATTTAAAAAAAAATTCGCACTGTTTCGTATTCATGTTGAATTCTGCGAACAAAAACAACGATCCGGACTCATTGAATATTAAACATTTCACGCGAACTGCAAATCACTAGCTACCAACACATCATAAACAAAATTTAATCAAACCAATTTTCGAATTTATCAAGAAAATAAAAACTGCTGGAAAATGGCTGGAAAAAGTGTGATTTCTTTAGACGTAGTTATCATAGTTTTATTGATAGCTTGTGATAAATACGCATGCGCCATTGACGATTGTCGAACACATCAGTTCTCAAAGTCGATAAATTCGACGCAAATGCAGTTTACAAAGGAGGCAGTCAGCCGAGAATATGCTCTTAACGGACAGTTCAAAAGTCTACAATGCTGTTCCAAAGGTTATCGCTCAGTAGAATGGTACGTATCGCAAAAATTCATTTTCATTATTCAAATCTTCTTTATAAAACGCACTTTCATCACTCATAAGTTCGATATGATTTTTGGGTAGAAATGCGCAAACATCCGTAAATAAATCTAATTTGTTGCTTGTTGTTTTCTGTTTTGATAAATAGCAGAATTTTGTGTTTTTTTTTTGTGATGGAAAAAACAACTCAGCAAAAAAAAAGTATAACAAAAGGAAATCTTGTTATTTTCTATGGATAAAATATAATTAATTCTATTATTAAATTCGATGAATACTACCTTCCGGTATTGCTTCGTCGTTTTTTTCCGTTCGGAGTATTCACCATTTAAAATTCTCTTCTGTGTTCCCATCGTACCGTTTACTTTATCTTCGTTCGTCCCGGCAACACATTTAATAAATATGCTCGGAAATAATAGCGAGTCGTCAAGACAATACTTGTTTTCATTAAAGTTTTTCGTTTGAAATTTGAACACCTCTTGTGAGCGGTGGGCATTCAAGTGCAATTGTAAAGAGACATAAAATATAATGCTTACTGTAAATGATTTTCAGTTGAAAATTGAGGAATCATGAGAAACGAATCCAGTTACATTTCCGAAAAGTCAACATACAAATTGCACCACACCGTTACAAAGAGCAAAAGTTGAAACAATCAGATATGAAAAATTCAATGAAGAGAGGTTTGACGGTGTACGTGTGTGTTCCTTTATTTTGTCTGGTCTTTCATTACTCGTAATACGCTGACTATATCCGCTTCGCTTGTCATTGCTCGGAAATGTAACAACGTAATTGTTAGCTTTGCATTTGCATATGACTGAAATAGATAGTTTCTGAACCGAAGATGTTTCTATTGCATGTTTGAGGAGTGTTCTCGCCATTGTTAGCGACATGACACGAAAGCACATTGTTAAATTATTCCAATAGCGTCTCTCACTCTCATTTAGCTGTGGCAAAATGCATTTTTAATGTTCGATTGCAAATTGCAAACACCCGGCGACAACAGTTCAACTTGTTCTTTAACGCCAACAACCACCACTGTTCGCCTCTGTTCCGTATCATATCGTACAAAGTGAATGTGAATGTGAATGTGCATAATTGGCAAAATGCTGTGTGAATTGTCATTCGATGTGTTGTGAAACATCATGCAAATTTTATCAGCATAAGCGTCAACATGAAATCATTAATAATGAAGCATCTACATAATTGTTTTCCATTGTTTGTGTTTGCTGCTATTCGCTTTCTTTTTCGGGCTAAAGGAAAACTTCCTCAAACGCTCATAGTAAGCGGATTCGTTGGCGTAATTGCTTCTCAATCAGTCATTTAACAAAATGCCTTTGTCTATACAATGCACAGTATGCAATGCACACCAGCCGAGGGAGCGAGTGTGCTACGGCTCAATGGGCTGTAATCCTTGTGTGTTTTAGCCGCTTGGTAAGTGTTTCTTTTGTTGGTTACTGCTTTGCCTGTGAAAAGTCTACATGATTATGCATGTTGAGGCGCATTCAAGTATGCAAACGAATACACAAATAAAGGCGAGAGATACGATTTCGAGTATAAAGCAAAGCAAATGACGTGAGTTAACCGAATATCAAAAGATAGAATGAGAAAAAAGAAAAAGAAAAAACAGTATTTTATGCATGTTCATTTCTTCAACTGGAGCTCATTGTCGGTATTGTTTCTGCCGTCAAATTCTCTAGTGGATTCAAGGTGCCTTTTGTGTATTTCGTTTCAAAAGATCAATTTTTCTCGTTTTCCTATTGTTGCCGTTGTTTCATTTCATTCGCACACACACTCAACGATTTTTCGGTTTTCTCCGTACGACTCTATTGTATCGCAACACAACACAAAAAATAACAACTAAAATGCTGCACAGTGCACATTCACTGAATTGATGGCACAATAGAATTCAATTTTATGTTGCATAGGAACAAAAGGTGGGCTGCATTCTACCAGCCAGTTTGTTCACAGTAGTGCGGATGCAGATATTCATGATAATAAAATACTTGGAATTTTCATGTAAACTGCTGACCGAGCACCGACGTGACAATCGCTGCATACTGATTGACATTGGCCAGATGAAACGAGAGTAAATGAACTGAATAGGGATAGGGAAAGCCTTCCAATTGCATTCAATTTCATCTAATTGAAAAAAATATTTTTTTAAGGAATCTCTCGTTTCTACGTCAAAAAACAACATTATTGCATGTTGACTTAAAAGCAGAAATATTGGCAAATCCATCAAAGACCCAAAATAAATCGGTGACTCAGAAGTTGTCATAAAATCGATTGATTTTTAAGAAATGAATCCAATATATGAATATATGCGCAGATTTTCTTAATAACAAAAGCGATAAGTGCTCAAATTAATTCACATCCACGCAGTTGCACGTGAGTCACAGTCAACATTTCGCTAAAGTCTTTGACCTACATCAATGCTCATGTTTACAACTACAAATGAAGCAATTTATAAAACATTGCATTGAACATTTTTCTTGTTATTTCGATTTTCGGGGAGGTCTGATCGGTGTATTCAAGCGACATCAGAATTTTTCAAAACATTCCACATATATTCAGTCGATCTCACATAATGAGGTGAGTTTTTTTTCTGATAGACACTGCAAAATGTGGCGTGGCTACATTTTTTGCAAATTCTAAAATGTGATATATAGTTGCACTGGATCGCCGTTGCTTTAATGAACTCTTGCATCGTTCTGAACATCAATCCAATGTGTGCGGTTCGAAATATAAAGAACCGAAATACAAACAAATAATTAAACTGTTCTAATTTTATGTCGCTATGTCCCCTATGTTGAACATTTTTTCAAAAAAAAACGTCTCGGTTTTTATTTGCTTAAAAAGAAATATGTGCGTTGCAAATGCCAGCCACGAACATATCGGCTTAAAGTACACTTTGTAGATTGAAAAATGTACTTCCAAATAGTCCCTTATTAAGAACCATACATTCGTTCTTGTCTATGGTGTTAAAGGCAGATATAAAAGCGAAGCAGCTTAACCAGAATAAGAAACCACTCTATCTCCACCTCAACACCGTCCCACAATGCTTTCGTTCGACTTAATTTGGTTCACTTTTTTGCGAAGATGCGTTGTCAAAAGTTGCCAACCACATTCAATTTAAATTTGTTCATCGAAAATTCCGAGAAAAATACATGAATTTAGTATGCATGAATGGCATGAGAAAGAAATCAAACTCAATTTAGGAGCTAGATTCGAATATATGAGCATACGAAGCAGAGGATGAATAAACATATGCTGTGTTATTCGAACCCTTTCCACTGAATTCACGACGAGTCAAGCGTTGAGTGTTGATTGAAAAGTGATTTTAAGTCGTTTACCTCTTGGTTAAATATGCTTGTCAGCTAATCCCATTTTGAACAGTGCTAAAATTGTCGTGTATATTTTTTCTCGATCTTCTTTCTGTTTGTTTTGAAAACCAATTCCTCCTTTTCATAGTTGATCGTTTCATTATACATTTGGGTGCAAATCTTATGCTTACCGTTTGCACGCTCATTAAACAAAGATACAGAACGTACAGCCAGTTCATTTAGACAAAACACAATGGATCAAATGCAGAGTCCAGCAACAAACAAAAGAGAATCAGACAACAAAATGAAAATGAGATAGCAGCAGCGAAAAGAAGAAAAGAAGAGAGAAGAGCAAAAAAAAAACGATGAAGCATATACATAGCACACACCAGCATAAGTACTCACGGGATCGATGCAGCAAAAATATTAAAGTGCCGATGAACGGAAAAAAGACAGAGAAATGAACACATAAAACAGAATAGAAAAAGTAATTGAGAGAAGAAAGAAAAAAGAAAAATAAGAACGGCACAAAAAATGAGTAATTTTCGTTTGGACTCCAGAGCTGTATTATTAATATTTTCCCAGAAACACTTCGATCTTTACTACCGAGAACTCAAATCATTTCTTTCTCTCCCTCTCTCTCTCTCTCTTTCTCACTCTACCGCTCTTGCCTCCATTGCTGCTTTTATCGTTTGGTGCCTTGTTCATCTTATTCACGAGAATTGTTGTGTTCGGCATTTTTTCTTCTTCTTTCCTTCCTTTGTGCACACTGTCTTATCTCCGTTCTGTTCGAATTGCTGTGGCTCTCTGCGCTTTTGCTTTTGTTGTTTTATGTGGGTATCATTGGACGAGTGCACACTGCACACACAGTAACACACGTATCATGTTGTCTTATTTTACACCTCTATTAAACTGCTGTTGTGAGTATGTCGCAGCTGTTCAGAGCAGATATACGAACATACGTTTGTGTGTTGTGCGCTTGGGTGATATGAATGATGTGCAGTTTACCTCTGAACCTTCGTCGACTGCAATGAACAAGCAACAGAAAAAACAATAGCAACATAAACACCTTGATTTTTCTGTAGTTTGCCTCAAATGATTGACTTCGGTTTATTTGCGAATATCAATGTTCAAAAATCAACACCAACGACAATATGCCGCTGCTTCTGAACGAACATAGACAATTCTGTCATTTAAGATGATTGCGTTTGAATGCTGTGCGGTGGCCTTGAATTCCTTATGCTTAGCATCGCCACAGTGCGCCACAAGCATTTCTATCCATCTGATATTTTCTACGAATTTTTCCTCATAAATGGCATATACAATTTAATAGCTCTAACATTTAGCATAACCCCGGGTAAATATTCTGTTTTTAAAACCAATTCGAGCGGGTATGCCATGAAAATCTATTGGGAAAAAATGCTTGGTTGCTCAAATTCGCAGAACCATCTTGTAAATCAGAGCATCAGCATGTATTGAATATATGTATACCGTTGCTGATACTTCACAAGTGATTCATTTTGATGCTGGGCATGGTTTCAATCACTCGAATTTTCATCAATCCCAATGTCATCCAGATTAATTTATTATATCAATTTGACCCACACTTACACATCAACGCACACTCACACACATGGCCTGTTCCAATCTCACTAATTGATTTATAGTTTTGC